CACACAAAACACACATACACACACATATACCACACACATACACACACCACACACACACACACACACACACCACACACATACACATATACGCCACACACATACACACACCACACACACACACCACATACACACACACATAAACACACACACCACACACATACACACACACTACATTCACACCACATACACACACACACACCACACATACACACACACTACATTCACACCACATACACACACACACACCACACACATACACACACACCACACACACATACACACATACCACATACACACACACACCACACACATACACACACACACACACACACACACACCACACACACACACACCACACACACGTACACACCACACACACATAAACACACACACCACACACACATACACACACACCACACACATACACACACCACACACAAACACACCACACACATACACACCACACATATACACAACACACTCATACACATCACACACACATACACACATATGCATATACACACCACACATATACACACATACACACACCACACACACACACAGATACACATACCACACACACATACCACACACACACCACACACATACACACCATGCACACACCACACACATACACACACACTACACACCCACCACACACACACACACACCCACCACACACATACACACAGCACACACACACATACACTGATGTTTTTTTTCATGCTGGGGATCAAGCCCAAGGTCTTATGCATGCTAGGCAATACAACTGTGCTTCATTCACCCCAACCCCTGCATTATACTTTAAAAATAAATAAAATCAGGCCAATGATGAATCAAATATTAAGCTTAATTTTTATATAAGAATTAAAAACCTGAAAATTCTGAATTAATTTCTTTGAAGATATTTAAATCGGTCAGTTAATCAAGCTAGTAAAACAATGTAATTATAGTAGATTTTATTAATACCTCAGAACAAATTGTCAATCTTTTAGCTTATTTTATTGGGCTATTTTGTCCCTTCTTATGTGGATAACTGATAATTAATTGAGAATCATCCTAAATTTCAAGGTGATAAACTTTGTCAAGGTTAAGCAAATGTATTATTATGATATAAGAATGCAATTTATTCTTTATGTACAAGCATTGACGTCTTGTTGATTAGAATGTATTTCAGGATTATAAAATTGTGGAATTTTAAAAAAATGGTTCATAGAATTTTAAATCTAGACAAGATTTTGGAGTTCATCTAGTGCTGTTATTTTGTGTATTTTATAGACAAGGAGCCTGGGTCCTAGGCACGGTCAACAACAAACCTGAGATTATCTGGTAAATGGTTGACCTGAGATTATTCGCCTGAATTCCATTAATTTCTCCCATGTGGCAACTCATCAAGTAATTACTGCTTTTATCACATAGCCATTTAAACTATATGCATGGTTCATTTCTTGGAGAGATTCACTCTTACAGTGAAAACCATTTTTCACTGGTAAGGTGATATAGATCTTTCAGGATTGGTTTTGATTAAAGCCATCATTGTGGTTCTCACCACTAAAAGAATTGTGATGGATTTCCTACTTATTTCCCAGTAACTTTTTTCTATACACCCAAACCATATTTTATGATTGTAGACAAATGAGTAAGAGCAAATACTGAGCTGGTGAATAATTCATGACAAGCATTTATGGACTACTGACAGCAATGCCAAAATGTAAAAATGTATTGTTAGGTTTCTTCCCTAGTTGTAAAGTTAATGCGAAGTGCTACAGAGTTCCTTCACTCAGTTTCCACAAGGTTCTGAAATTCCACCACAAAAAATTTATTCACAGAATGCTAAAACTTTAAAGCTGAAATTCAGTATGATGATTTTCAGTTCTCTGAGTCACTTTCTCCAGATAGCCATCTTTTAATATTATAAATATACCTAAGAAGATTAACCAGAAAGCTAATTCATCGTAGTAGTGATTTATCAGATTGTATTTTTTTCTTATCAGTAATTCCCAAGACCTAAGAAAAAACATGAAAGAATAATGTTAGGATAAAGGGCAAATAACATTTGTGAAGGTTCTTGGAATAAGAAAACAGGATATTGGAGAGATAAAGGTATTCCTGAAAAACAAACTAACAACTCTATATGGCCTGTTTGTTGACTATTATTGTTGTTGGCAGTGACACATATGTGGCTTTGGAGTGACTGGGGAAGAAAAGCTGTTGTGCTACTGTAAAAAGTGAGTCATTACTTGGTATCCCTGGGGAATTGATTCCAGGACATCCTCAGATGCCAAAATCTGTGGATGCTCAAGTACCATATAAATACGCTGATGTAATATTGATTTGCATATAAACTATTCATTTCTATATACTTTAATTCATCTCTAGGTTACTTATAATACCTAATACAATGTAGATGCTATGCAAATCATTATTATGCTGTATTATTTAGGGAATAATGACAAGAAAAATGTCTATAAAAGTTCAATACAGATGTGATTTTTTAATGGACTATTCTCAATCTGAGGTTGGTTAATTGAATACAAGCATGTCTAACCTGTGGATAGCTGCACAGGACCAGCTGTACCTTTTACTTGAGATTCTAATTAGCTTACAGTGCCTGAAATTCCTTGAAAGTTGGGAAATGGGAGGAGACAGTTTTAGGTTTTTTTTTCCTAAAATGAGCATACTTCTCAACAGGAATGTTCAGTGAATTCCTTACCTTTTGCCTAGCACTGTGAGTGATTGCAGTGAAATCTGCAGAAACCATGTCTATGATTACAGTGAGGCATCCATATTCCTTCTCCTTTTTAATACTTATTTCAGAAAACATGACTGGTTGTAGCAGTCAAAGCTTGGGAAGAAACTGACGGAACTCTGGGAACATGTCTGGGAAAATTACCACGAGCCCATTACAAGCTTTCAATTCTTGATACTTCTTGATCCCATCAGAATTCCTGTCTTCTAGCTGTCTGACCCTTGCCTGCTTCCCATGGGAATGTTTCCTGACCCAGCTACCCACAAGCATCTGTTTACTCTGCCATGATTCAGAGCATCTCACTCTTGGTTGTAGTAGAGTTACTGGGACACTTGTGTTCTTGAAAAAGGGCTTAAATATTACTGCTTTATCTGCAACACTAAGACAAATAGCCAGTTGAAGTTTTCATGGCTCAGTTTTTGTTTCCAAAGAGTGCCTGCTCCAAGGGTATTTTATTTCAGCCATTGCTGTGTGAGATAGTTTAATCTCCCGTTTACTATATTTCATGTTCAGCTTACATTATAAGCCATATCTACCAAGATCTGGTATTTGTTCTAGATTCAGAATAATTATTTTAATGGACCAAAGAAAATGGAAGCAGAAAGGGTGGTGCTTGTAAGCATTAATGTCTATTTGTAGGGCTATTCTGTAGAGCTCTGTGGAAGTAGGCTGGCAGATGCAAATTGGCTTTGGAGGTAAGTCCTGCAGGAAAGCAGAACTGTGCTTCTGCCTATGGATTGAATCTGAAACCAATGAGAGAAATCTAGGAATTTCTGGAACAGTTCTGAAATACACATTTCTGAAATATACATTTCTACTTTCTTTATTCTTTCTCTGGCCTACCTCTTTTCTAATTCAGCCCTAGTATTCAGTCTTCTGTTTTCTTGCTGTTGGCCAATATTGATAGAGGACATGATTCTTTGAACTCATGTGACTGTAATTTAGTAACAACATGAATGCCTTATAATTGTGAGGTATAGTCCATTCACCCCCATTTTCTATTTTTTCCGATGACTTAACTTTTGACCTAATGCCAGCTTGTTATTCCTATGAAAAATCTGAGCAGAGAGAAGTCACATAACTAGAAGATTTAGGATAATTACAATTAATATGATATTTTTGACTGCTTCTCTCCTTCTTAGAAAATTCTCTGGTCTTTGGTTAATTGGAAGGAGATAGCTGGGGTTAGAAGTTGAACAGAAAGGGCTTTGGGAAAGACGTGGTTTGTCTACACTGAATATGAAGAAATGGAACTGCTGTGACATGTTTATAATTATGATAGACATTGCCAAGTTCTTGGTATATTCCATAATGATTGGCAGATATGGAGAATCCTCATTGAATTATAATAGAGATGAAATGGATACAGTGAAGGGCCTTCTATGCCAGAGTGAGGGGTTTGGAATCCATGCTATAAGAATTTCTATTTGAAGCATTATATCCAATCAACATTTTGAAAAAAAAATTAACCCAACTACAGTGTGTAAAGGGCAGGAAGTACTAGGTATTAGAGGTACACATTGGTGCTAAAGGTGAGTTAAGTTGGCAGAGAAGTAAATAAAAAGGAAGGGAATAACTAAGGAGATGTCTTAAAGCAAAAGTGTCAGCATTTGGTGATGGATTGGATGCTCTGAAGATGATGAGTGGCTGAGAAATGGTGATGTCACAGGCTACTTGAGAGGCAAAACTGAGCTTTATTGGGGCAGTGACTTTAAATCCTGGAAAATGGTTAAAAGATTGAGGACAGAGAGAGCTGAGTGGAATTGGTGACTTAAAGTTTGTAGTTTTAAGTGATTACAAGGATGGGACACAAGATGAAATGCTGTAATTTTACCAATGAGTAGAGAAACTTAATCAACAGATGAAAAATTAAGGCAGAGTTTAAGCCTCATTTATTTTAAAAGGAGAAGAAAAGCCAATATAGACAGATAACTAAGTGAGGGGAAATGTGCCGCTGAGGATGCAGCTCCGAACGTCTGCAATATTTCTTACCACATCAATTAAATAAGTCACATGTGAATGCAAACACTCCTGAGTGTACTCAGAAGCTATGCCTTTAAAATTTTAATTTCATATAGAATATGGCATATTCTGTTTGAAAAATATATCTTGGGATTTAGTGTTCATCCTATATTGGGCATATGTAGTCTTTAAGTCATTGACTGATTTTTTTTAGGGATACTTCAACACTAATTTTGTTCTTAAAAATGCTTTCAATAACATTTTCCTTAAACATAGTTGTGATGCACAGACAATGAGATAGAAGAAATCAGGGGACTGGAGAGGTGCAGCAATCTAACACACCTTAGTTTGGCCAACAACAAGATCACAACAATTAATGGTTTAAACTCATTACCAATCAAAATACTTCGCTTGGTGAGTCCAATAAAATGTTATTCTTTGTAGAAGTAGTGGTTGATGTTTAGTAAATGTATGAGTTATGGTTACTTGGGACTTTTTAAGTGTATAAAGATTGAATTCCATAATGAAATGTTACTGTCCTAGTTTGTTCCTTTTTATGTCTGTGTGTGTGTGTGTGTGTGTGTGTGTGCTTGTGTGTACATGATCAATATTCTATACTGAAGTAGAATGATCTTCTAATTTGGTATCTGAATTCAGTTTTTTTAGAAGATTAACTTTTTTATATTGGAAAAGAAAGATGTACTTTTAACAGATATTTAAAATATTTTACAATATTTTATCAGTGAAAAATAGCATTTGAACATATTTAAGCATAGTATTTATTGCTGTTCACACTTTATTGTTTTCAAATGAACCACAATATGTTTTCTAGGCATTGAACTTTGGCAGTCCTCCTGTATTAATACACACTAGTCTCCCTTTCTAGAAAATCAGAAACGGTGTGGTGACTAAATGAATAATTCCAACCAGAAAGTTAAATTTGATTTAGTTTTTTTTTTTCCGTGTGGGAAACATTGTTTTTAAGCCCTGTGCTGTTGTGACACCTTGTGACTATGACTCAGTGAAAATAGAGATCATTTACCAAAATTATCAGGATCATATTAATCCCAAAGATACGCATTCTATTTTAAAAAACAATAGTATGTCATGTTAATACGGAGGGTTGGTAATTTTTTTTTATTTGTTTAATATCCAGAATTTTTTCTTCTTCCTTTCCTCCTCCTGTCTACCCTGAGATAGCTTTGCTGTTCTGTCTTACATCCATCAGAGAGTGGACAGGGGAGATTTCAAGCCACAAGACATATCTTATTAATATTTTATGTGAACTGCCTCACAGGAAGGCATTTGACTGTTGTTTGAAATGACATCTTGGGCTAGCTGCAGATTTTTGACACATACAATATACTAGTCTTGTCTTATTTAGCCATGGATCACCAAAATTTGGCTATGAGATAATCTTTCTTTCCCCAAACTTAGAGCTCTCAGTGCTTTCTTAAGACCCTTCATCTCTAACTTGAGTTAGGTTGAGTGTAGAGTACTGGCATTCTAGTACCTAGCATGAAATCAAGGATGGAAAAGTTTAGTAGTTTACTTGAGGTCTCATGTTTTTTGCCTAACAAGGTATGTTAGCAAAGCATAAATGAAAATGAATTTGATAAATTGGATTGAAAATTTTAAGTTAGAAAAGAAAGTCACATTTAAAAATTATGATATCTAAGGGATTATTGACTGTTATATTATTCATTTATTTCATAGTTTGTTAGAGACTTATTTTTTTTTCTCTACATATCTTGCCTGTATTGGCATTCCCACTAATTTTAAGTGGATCATGATAAGTGGAAAGAGATATGGAAGTGTGCTTAAGGGAATAAAAACTGAACTTATTAATAAGAATTAACACAAAGCACTTACATCCTGAGTTTGTTTTATTAACTACATAAGTAATCCAGGTTGACAGTTGTGTCTCAAGTACCTTTCAGAAAAAGCATAAAGTGCTTTTTTTTCTATAAATAGATTAGGTAGATTGTTTCCAAACTCCTCCCCCATCATCCAAAAGGAGCTAGAGGATGTGAGGGCGATCTGGCTGCGACATCTGTCACCCCAATGATCGCCAGGGTTGATTCTGCTGATCTGGCTGGCTAGGCGGCTGTCCCCTTCCTCCCTCACAGCTCCGTGTGCATCCCTCCCAAAGCTGCGTGCTCGTTGAAGACGACGACCATCCCTGATAGAGAAGGACCGGTCTTCAGTCAAGGGTATAGGAGTAGCTGTGCTCTCCTGCTAGAACCTCCAAACAAGCTCTCAAAATGAACTAGAAAGTATATAATATGCTATTACTTATGTTCCTTAATACTTTTCAGAATAGGAAAAACTTTCTTTTACAAATTTCAATAGAATTCATAATATAAAATGATAAACATTTGTTTGAACAATTTTTAATGCTTTTATTTTTAATTCCTGGAATCAGAAAAACAGTTGTTTAGTTACAGTTGAAAAGAATTCATTTTACAATTTAGAGTAGGAAGAACAAACCAGTAGCTAATTTTTGACCTTCAACTTTTATAATAAATGTAAAGTTGAAAAAGGGAGAAATGTGGTTCACTAATGGGCTGTTCTGTCACCCAACTTCTTAGCAAGTAATGACAAGGTATTCCAAACTTTAAACTTCATTTTGTCAGAGAAAGAGCCACTTATTTTTTCCCTCACAAATTGGTAGATTAAGAATGTTTCTAGTTTCATTTATTTCAGAAAATAGCTTCTCTCTAAAAGTGTTTTGCCTGCTAATCATTATAAAACAAGCAGGAGGACTTATTCATGCAGAAACTGGATGTCCACATCTCGGAGTGACCCTTCAGTTTTTCAGCATTAGATGAAGGCTCTAACTAGCTGACTTTCAATTCAGAAATTCTGTGGTTCTGAAATTTTCTCAGTTCTGCTTTTCTTTACGACCATAGGCTATCTAATTAAACTTTTCTATGCTTTACTCTGCACATATTATCTACCACTTTGAAAGTCATCAGAGACTCTGTGAAGAAGAATTACAATCTATCTAACACATCTAAAGATTTTCAAAGTTCTTTTGGAAAATGTGTATTATATATAAATTTGATATGTGGGCATTTTTGAATAGGATATTGAGGTCGTATTTCAATACATTAAGTTGATATGGATAGGATGTTTAGTGTAGTTTTTTTCTTCCCCTTCTCTATTATATTTTCTGTACCTTTTTTAAACTCTGAGCGGAAGAAAATTTGTCACTTTGGCAATCGGGATTATGAATATTTCTTTCCAGTTTATTATGGAACTTTTCAAACATAAAAATAAAAAGAATGGTATAATAAACCCTCATTTGCTATAACCTAACTTTATAGATTATCAACATTCTATTAACATGTTTTAAGGAGCTATAGAATTATGCTAAATGAACAAAGATCTGGCTCATTATTGAAGTGAAATTTTTATGAAAAATAGGATGAAAATGGGCTCTTACTATTAAATGTACCGGCAAATATATTGTAGATGGAAGCAAATACTGTAGTTTAAAGTTTCAATTCTTAAATGCATATTGAAAGTTTAAGGATGAATGCAACATATTAGCTAAAACTTCAAATTATTCTTTATTGTAATTCTCAACTCAAACTAAAGGTTTAATTTTGCTATGACACTTTCCTATCCCTCAAGACTAAGAGGTAAAAAGATAAAGTGTCAAAAAACAGGCAAAAAATGCAAATTATTGTTATCATTCTTGTTATTATGGGTATGTGGAAGTTGAGAAAGAGGACACTTGAATATGGAAACTTCATTCTATTCTTATCTGAGAAGATGTTTGTATGTGGATTATTGAAGAACTTCGTTTGGTTATCTATCATTGTATAGCAAGCCATCCTACTGGTAATAACTTGGAGAAAAAGCATGCAAGGTTTGGATGGATGGTTTTTCTGTAGGGCTTGCTTCAGTCAGCCGGCATATTTGGTGGGTGCTTCCTTCAGCTGGATACTGGATGGCTGGATTTTCTATTTAGTTCAGACTTCTTTGTGTGATTTCTCCTTATCCTGGTGGTCTCGCTACAAGTTCTGTGCAATAGAGTAGCTGGAGTTCTTACATGTTATTTCAGAGGTCCTAAGACCCAAAAGCAGAAACTGTCTGGCCTACATAAGTCTTAGATTTGAAACTGGCACATTTCTGCCATATTTTTTTGGTTAAGGAAGTTATAGGCCAGCCTAGATATAAGAGGAAGCAACTGCACAAGAGCATGGTTCATTTGAGGTGCCAAGACTATAGATGATCCCAGCCCTCATGATATAATGTGGTTATAATTAGAATGTTTCGGAAAAAAAGTGTAGGTGGGAATTATAATATTGAAGTGGTTCATTGTGATGGTAAAAGCATTGTATTAAACTCATGTTTCTAGAGGTAAACATGGAGTTATGCTTCTATTTAAGCTTTAGGTACACAAAAAGGCTTTTGTCTTTCCTACTGATCTGAATACTCATTTTCAAAATAAAATATTAAAATCTAAATGAAAATGTTATGTTCTGATCTTCCAGTTGAAAAACAAGGATTTCTTTCTGGTGTATGTATGTATGTATGTGTTTAGATAGGTGAATGATGAAAATGGAGTCAGTCAAGAACGGCTTGTTTGTTTTTTGAAGAGATGTAGGGCAGTATCCAAATGAACACTTACCTTTACAACTTTTCCTGTGATTGGATTTAAAACATTAAGTATATTTTGTCCATTTTAGAGCAATAATGAGATTGAGAAGATCACAGGTTTAGAAGATCTGAAAACCCTGCAGAACCTGGATCTGTCTCACAATAAGATAAGTAGCCTTCAGGGCTTAGAGAATCATGACCTCCTGGAAATGATCAACCTCGAGGATAACAAGGTAATGTGTTTTCAGGTCTTGCCTTCAGTGTCTAAATAAGAGGACATATTAGAGAGTCAGCACAATTACCCCATTATTGGTTTTCCAAGGTCTGTCTCATGAAATGCAGCTTAGAAATGTTATTCTAGTAAACTTCGTAGAGCAATAGTTGCAGAAGGTCTGTATTTTAACATAACTACAATTCATAATTTTTGAAAATTTGGTGATTCCTAATTACACTGTTTTAAAGGATTAAACTACAAATGTGTGTGGATAACTTTACAAAATAGATGTGTTCGTGCAACACTTTTGTGGGAAGATGGCACTAGGCATATCTGGAATGTCAGAGCAAGGAAAGTGGATATAAGAGCCTCAGGCTAGTGTTGCCCCTTGCCTCAATTCAGAGAGGAGTGGGTTATTGTTGGGGGAAGGAGCTTGGGGACATGTTGGTCAAAGGATTTAAAACTTTTGTTGTATGGGAGGGATAAAGTCAAGAGAGCTATTGTACAACATACTACTTAAAGTTAATAATAATATAGTGTATTCTTGAAAAATGCGAAGAGGGTAGATTTTAAATGTTCTCATCACAAAAATAAAACTTTAGGAAATAATACATATGTTAATTATCTAGAATTAGGCATCCTACAGTGTAGATATAGTTCAAAACATCATGCTGTGCATGGTGAATACATATGATTGTATCTGTAATTAAAAAAATGTAGCTACCCTAGGAAAGATTTAACTATAAAAAAATAAAGATAAAGGGCATAGAAAGTGAATTCTCATATCCTATTGGTAATAATAATCTGTGTTTCCAATCTGCTTTGATGGATTAGTGATTAGATTTATTCAAATTTTCATGTTTGGCTTTACTTTAAAATTTATATAGTGTATGCTTTATCTTAAAAATGATATAAAAATTGACTTTTACTCTTCATTACATTTTATTTTTAGTAAATCATCTGTGTTCCTGATCATGATGTATTAAGTCAGTATCTATAGCTGACTATGTGCAGTATGGTCTATAAGATTATTTTGTGTTGAGTACTTTATCCAATTTTTGGGGGAAAATTTTCATAGACAGTTGAGTGTTTATTTCTTCTGGAAAAGGAAAAGTAGGGAAGAACCTGAAAGAGACTGTTGGTGCTAGCTGTAGCAAGATGTGATGCTTCTCTGCGACCTTGTTCTATCCTGCTGTGATGGTGCTTGTCAGTTTTACCTGATGTCCTTTTCTCCAACAAGCTTGTTTCATCTGCTAGATTGTAAAAAAAATCAAGAAAAGCCAATGATTAAGATCTGGGAATAAGTGAGTTTTTAATCTTAGACAAAACTCTTTACTCTCATCTCACTTGATTTGTTTACTAAGTTGTTTTAGTGACTTACCAAGTTAGTTAATTCTAGCTAGTGACTTTTGTTTTGATTCCTGTACTATGTGTCTTTGCAGAGTCAGCAAATCTCTGTTTCATGTGGTTTTCTTGAAATTGCCATCAAAGACTGATTTTTTAAAAAATTTCCTACTGAAAATGGTTATCACACTTATAATGGGGATATTGAAAAGGTAGAATATACTCATTAAATCCCAACTCAGTGCATTTTAGGGCTTAGGAAAAGAAGTGATGGCAATGGAGATAATAAGAATTACAGGCATAAAATATTTGAGAGATGTTTTCTGAGAACTATACACCAGACAATATGCTAGGCACTTTACATATTTCATTTAATCCTTGTTGTGACCTATTATTATTACTATTTTATAGATGTACTATTTTCTCTGGGGCACAGAGAAGCTAAGTAACTTGCCCCAGAACAAGGATTCAAATAGAGAATGATTTGCCTCAGAATCAATGTGCTTAACCTCTGCAGTGTAATACAATAAATGAAAAGACAGTGGTCCTCCCTACAGAAGTGGGTGTAGGATAATGCTTGAGAATAGTGCTTTCTCGTAGAAATAGAACTTGAGGCATAGATGCAAGCCACAGATACAATTTAGAATTCTCTAGTAGCCACAATAAAAGGAAAAAGGAAACAGGTGAAATTAACTTTAGTTTTACATTTTACTTAACTCAAACTATCCAAAAATAATGTAAGTTCAGCACACAATCCACAGTTATTAATGAGATATTTTACCTTCTATTGTCTCAGATTGAGTTTCTGACTCTGGGTATGTATTTTACACTTAGGCACATGTGGCTACTAATTGCCATAATGGCTAGTGTAGGTCTAGAAACACCTCACAAATAGATTGTTCCCTACTATTTCAAGAGACTATTCAGATAACATTTGATAAAGTTTAAGGAGGAAAGAGTTATATACAAGTGAAGAAAGGAGTTTATGATTTTCAAATGTTAAAAAGACTCTACTAAAAAAAGTGGCTACATGTCCCAAAGGGGGGCTCCATTGGTAACAATTGATTCTGTGATGATAACACAATTCCCTGGTTCCCCACTGGGCAGGTTGGGGAGCAACCAACAGCACTCTGAAATATCCTTTGAGCCATTCGAAGAGTCCCTCAAGAGATTTCTTTAGGACGATTGAGAATTCTGTGTATCAGGGATGGAAAATTTATGATATAAAAGAACCATAGCATAACTTTTACTTCCTCTATGATTAATTTGATGTTAGGAATATTGTTTTAGGGGTGGCACTTTTATCAATATTACTCACTTGGTTTTAGTTGTTGAAGTATGGTAGCATCTACATGTGGTCATTTGACCTTCTTTCCTTTGCAAATGTTTACTGTCAGCTTGGTGATTTGGGGACCTTTGTTACCTTCCACTATGTATGTAGTCCATGTTAGATTTTAAATCATGGTGGCATCTAAAAGTTACTCCAAACTCTTAACTCTATTATAACCTCCACTCTTTCTTCTGGAGGTGACCTCCCTGAGTCTTGGTATATCATCTTCTGTCATCCAGCTGTATGGGAACTATAAATAGGAGGATCACAGTCCAGGGTAGCCTGGACATAAATGAAGACCCTATTCTCAAAGTACCTAAAGCAAAAAGAGCTGAGAGAGTAGCTCAAGTGGTAGAGTCCCTGCCTGGTAAGTGCAAAGCCCTGAGTTCAAACCTCAGAACCACCAAAAAAAAAAAAAAGAGTTATTTGTTCACACCCTTAACTATCATTTATTTTATGACAGTTGTTTTTTTGCTTTTCATTATGTTTAAAGTATATGTTTAATATACATATTAAAATAATTTATAAAGTATATGAATATTTTCATTCATATCTTTTTCTCATTAAAAAACTTTTTATTTTATCATTTTTACATTTACTTACATGTGTATACATTGTTTTGGCCACCTTCCCCCACCCCTCCGGGTAGAACCTGTTCTGCCCTCTTATTCTCTGATTTTGTTGAAGAAAAAAATATATGAGATAAAAAGGAAAACATAGCATTTTTGCTAGTTTAAGATGAAGATAGCTATACAGGGAGATACCTTGTACTGTTTCCATGCACATGTGTATTACAGCCCACATTGATTCATCTCTTCCAGACCTCTTCACTATTTCCTAGTCCCCTTCCCATAGTGGTCTTTGCCAGTTAAAGATTACTATATTCGCTCCTATACAGTGAGCACTAAACAGTGAGCACTTTAACCACATTCAAGTTTTAGGTTTCCTTCCCTTTCCTTATCCCTCCCATATGCAGTCTCCCCTTAGTGTGTGACCCATGTCTAGTAATATTACTGCATTTGTTTTAAGTCTGTAATCTGCATATGAGGGAGAATATGTGATTTTTGGCCTTCAGAGCCTGACTAACTTCCCTTAAGATGAGGTTCTCCAGTTCCATCCGTTTTCCTGCGAATGACAAAATTTCATTCTTCTTTGAAATGGCTGAATAAAATCCCATTGTGTATAAATGCCACATTTTCTTAATCCATTCATCAGTAGTGGGGCATCTTGGCTGTTTCCATAGCTTGGCTATTGTTACTAGTGCTGCAATAAACATGGGTGTGCAGGTGCCATTGTAGTAACCTGAGTCACATTCTTTCAGGTATATCCCTAGGAGTGGTATTGCTGGATCACATGACAGGTCTATTTTTAGTTTTCTAAGAAGCCCCTATATTGTTTTCCATAGTGGTTGTGCTAGCTTATATTCCCACCAGCAGTGTTTGAGGGTTACTTTTTCCCCATGTCCTCGCCAACATTTGTTGTTGTTGGTGTTCTTAATGGTAGCAATTCTAACGGGTGAGGTGGAATCTTAGTGTGGTTTTGATTTGCATTTCCTTTATGGTCAGGGATGGTGAGCATTTTTTCATGTGTTTTTTGGCCTTTTCGATTTCTTCCTTTGAAAAAGTTCTATTTAGTTCAGTTGCCCACTTGGTTCATTGGTTCATTGATCTTTGGGGAGTTTAGTATTTTGAACTCCTTTTATATTCTTATTATCAGTCCCTTGTCTGATGTGTAGCCAGTGAATATTTTTCTCCCACTCTGTGGGTAGTCTCTTCAATTTAGAGACCATTTCTTTCTTTGTGCAGAAGCTTTTTAATTTCATGTAGTCCCATTTGTCAATCCTTTCTCTTAGTTGTTGAGCCACTTGGGTTCTACTGAGGAAGGCCTTGCCTATACCTGTTGCTTCCAGTGTATTCCCTGCTTTTTTCTGTACTAACTGCAAGGTTTCAGGTCTGATATTAAGGTCCTTAATCTACTTTGAGTTGAAACTAGTACAGGCTGATAGGCATGGATCTAGTTTCATTTTTCTGCAGGCAGATAACCACTTTTCACAGCAACGTTCGTTAAAGAGGCTCTTTTCTCCATCATATGTTTTTGGCTCCTTTGTCAAAAATTAGGTGGGCATAGCTGTGTGGATTCATATCCAGGTCCTCTGTTCTGTTCCACTGGTCTTCATGTCTGTTTTTGTGCCAACACCATGCTGTTTTTATTGCTTTTTATTGCTGTGGCTTTGTAGTATAGTTTGAAGTCAGGTATTGTGATAACTCCGCATTGCTCTTTTTGCTCAGTATTGCCTTGGCTAATCTTGGTCTTTTGTGATTCCAAGTGAACTTTAGGATAGATTTTCAATCTCTGTGATGAATGGCATTGGGATTTTGATGGGAATTGTGTTGCACATGTAGATTGCTTCTGGTAGTATAGCCATTTTTACTATGTTGATTCTGCCAATCCATGAGCATGGGAGATCTTTCTACCTTTCATATCTTCCTTTTTTATTTAAAATTTCTTTATAAAGTCTCTTTCAACTCTGAATCTGATAGATGTTCAATGAAACTTTTTTGGGTTTGTTTTTTTTAACTACTTCAACTTTTATTTTTTGGTGGGACTGGGATTTGAACTCAAGGCTTTGTGCTTGCAAAGCAGGTACTCTGCTGCTTGAACCATGCCTCCCCAATCCTACTACCTTCAACTCTTTTTTAAAATTTATTTATTCATATGTGCATACATTGTTTGGGTCATTTCTCCCCATGCCCCCCGCCCTGTCCCTCTACCCCTAAGCCCCTTTGCTTCCAGGCAGAACCTGTTCTGCCCCCTTCTCCAATTTTGTTGAAGAGAAGACACAAGCAGTAATAAGACAGAGCATTTTTGCTAGTTTGAGATAGGATAGCTTTACAGAGAGATTCCTAGCATTGCTTCCATGCATATGTGTATTACAACCCGAATTGGTTCATCTCTACCTGACCTCTTCACTACTTCCCGATCACCTTTCCATAGTGACCTCTGTCGTTTCAAGGTTACTATATTAACTCCTCTACAGTGGACACATAAACACTTTCAAGTTTTGGGTTTCCTACCTTTCCCTATTCCTCATGTATGTGTTCTTCTCTTAGCATGGGACCCATGTCCAATAATATTACATTTGTTTTAGGTCTAAAACAAATTGTATGAGGGAGAACATACAAGTTTTGGCCTTCTGAGCCTGGCTAACTTCGCTTAAGATAATGTTCTCCAGCTCCATCTATTTACCTGAGAATGATAATAGTCCATAGTTTATTTTGTAGTATAGTTGAAAGAAAGGTTTAAATCTACTTTTTTCCTAATATCTAATAGTAACATGGTGATAACAAGTAATATTTATTGAGTACTCACTATATGGGCTCAGCATTATGACAAATAATTCCTATTGATTAACTAATCTAACTAGTAATTTTCTTGCTGATTTGTGGCTCACTTTTTAAATATAATGTTCATCTCTTGATTCTTATTCTGTAATGCATCTGTGATCGTCATCACTATCGTCATCTAATTGACAGAGCCTCACAGTTTGAAACACACTGTTTTTCTGCACAGATTTTTATATGTGTAGTAGTGGGAAAATATTTTTATCATTGTTCCAAATAGTTTCCTAAGGAGAGGTAGTATATGTAGTATATGCATATTAATTTTTTAAAAGAAGAAGCCTGAACACGCGCCTTTAGTCTGAATAGTGAAGCTTACAGAGCATGGCCAAGAAGGAAATGGCAAAAAAGAAGTAAGCAGACTTCTGGAGGTTGAGAGTGGCTTCTAGGGGTCAAGGAGGTTAGTGAAGATGCCAGTAGGACATTCTTGGTAGCAGATGGCAGAAGTTCCTATAAGAACATAACATTTTGGGCAGAATTTCACTATATCTGCACCTCTGTAAAAGTCTGTTGCATACACAACATTGGGTCTGTGGCCTTGTAGATGGAAGACATGAGAGTGGGGTCTGGTGCAGGTTGAGGTTGTGTAGGAGAGGAGAATGCATGCAAGGCTACTGGTATCTATTGAACTTTGATAATTCCCCAGAAGTGGGAACTTGAAACCAGGCTATCCTATGGTAACTCCCCTCTGTCATCCTCATCCTTTCCTTAGAAGGAATTGGGAGGAAAACTGTATCCCTTGTATTTTATTCTCCAAAATAAACTTTTGCTTCTCTGAGGTGACATCTTAGTGTTAATATAAGTGTATATTGTGCATGGTCATTCTGTTCAAAGTATGTACAACATATCAAGATATTTCCATGTTAATCACCACAGATACCACTATCTTCTAAAAAGAGTGTACAGTGTTCCTAATTACTATAATGCCATGTTTTGACTGACTTACATTATGGTGGAGTTCTTAAAAAATTAAAACCTTTTTACTTTTACTAATAATGTTAGCCTGACGTTTTTATATATAATTTTTGCCAATATGATAATCTCTTTAGTGTAAACCTCTTAAAGTAGGATTGCTGGTTCATAGCTCATGTACATGTAACACAACAGATTGCCCTTTAAAAAGAATTGCCAATTTCCACTCTTACCAGCAATGTCTGCAGGTGCATGTAGCCAGACCGTGTTGGTGAGACCTGATGAATGCAGGAGCACATTTCCTCTTAACATTTGTCTTAGGTCCAAGAACAAGAGCTGTGTGCTAGACAGAAATTGATCCATTTCTCAAAAGTTCTGTTGGAACAGTATGAACCAAGTTTATTTTTCACCCTCCTGAATAACACAATTTAAAGCAATTGATTTCTTTTTCTTATAGATGATCCAAATAGCAGTGTAATGGATGGTCTAGTCATCTTATAGAAAAAGATGTTTATAATAGCATAACATTGCCAGATTAATGTGTGTAGGTTGCATATTATAACTTTGGAGTTCACTGTTCATATTACATCTTTGGACAGAGTGCATATAGCGTTGGGACTAATTTACATTTTAGCTATGTTTCATGGCTAGATAACTCAGGAGTTCTTGGTGACTGTGCTGTTGAGGTGCTTTTACATGATATCCAGAAATGATGTGGGAAAAGTAGACATGAAAAAGTGATTATTAACTTATTGCAAAAGTCCAGCATCTATACTTGAAACAAAATTGCATTTTAGCTAATTGTAGAAAATTTAAATAAAGCTATCTTTCTTTAGTTCGGTGGATAATGCAGGCCTACTGCAACCCAAGCTCTATCCTTTGTTTAATTAAGACAGTCTTTCTTCTCCCTTACTTTTTAAAATCATGAAATATAACCTATACAGAAAAGTATGTATAAAATCAGTGTACGGCTTAGCAAAAAATTAAAGCTAAACAGTGGACATTTATCAAGCAATGTACAATTTCATTTTCACCTTTCCTTTAGATAATTCTCTCTTGTGGAAAAAGTGATATAGCCACACATGTCCATGCACTAAGAAGGCTTAGCCAGTCACACATGAGCAGGGGAGCAGAGGCAGGGTTAGGAAGGGAAGTTGTGGGGGTTGGTGAAGGGCTAGAACAGGAGTGGCTGTACTATTTCTCTTGCTTTGCACACTATATAATTTCTACTTAAAATGAACATGGATAAGAGGAAGAAACTTACTATTCATATTTATTGAAGAGGCACGTAGTAATTCCTGTGTTCTGCATAGCTTTGTGGAATTCTCATTAAAAAACTGAATATTCAACAGAGCAAACTTGAGATAAATTGAATTTTAAGAATCCAATGGTATTGTCTCCATTATTGTGCTTCCTATTGTCTTTGTGCATTGCCTCTTGATAATTTTTTTTTTATTAAACAGATCACTGAGCTGAGTGAGATAAAATACATTGAAAATCTTCCTATCCTTAGAATTCTCAATCTTCTGAGAAATCCAATTCAGGTGAGAGGTCATTTACATCAGGAGAGGGGAGCCGGAGGGGAGGGGAATAAGATAGTCTTGGAACTTTTCTTCTTCACAAGGTACTTTTGATAAAGAACATTAGAAATGTGAATAAAGTCTATCTTTACTCTCTGCCTCTTTGGGAACAATTAGAAGGGATAAGTAAAGTAGCACCTAAAACAACTTTCTTTTAAAAAAATAGATCTTCTTTCATGACTAGTAAGCTGTCACACCACTCTCAGTAAAAAATAAAGGCTAAAATTGAATGTCATTTACCTCCTGTGCATGGTCATTTATGACTCATCCCAGCTGACACTAAAAATTACAGAAAGGAACTAATGAGATTGTAGAGCAATGTTCTTTCACATTAGAGAATATAAGACTCCACAGGTGTAGATAGAATATGGTTCCTATTTTATAACAGGGGAAAGAAAGTGTAAGATTAGATACCTAACGTAATTTGCTTGGATATAGCCATGAAATTGGCATAGTTGTAAAATAATTATAGAACAAAATAATATTTTTCCTAGGGACTCTTAGTTTCTGGGATTTATGAACCTCTCTGGTTCTTAAAATTTTCAGTTCCTCTTTTTTCCTCTATTGATAGATTCATTCTCCTGGCCTCTTCTCCCTCCTTGTCCATCTGGCCTTCATTATATTTCTCTCAACTGTGTATATATTTCTGAGTACCTTTTTTTTTCTGTGTAACTTAATGAATATGTCTGGAAAAGTGAAAAACCAAAATAAAAATAAGTGCAGATGTCGGAATAGTGTCAGATGATTTAAAAATATCTCTAGGAAAGTAAGGGGCAGTGCTTAAAGTGGTCATCACAACTCAATTTCAGATCCATGGAAAGTGTTCACGCAAATGGGTAAGTAAACATCACAAGTCTTTTCATGTACATTGACTCATTTATATACAAAACCTCCCAAAACAGCTACATGTGAAAGTGCATAGAGAAACTTTTAATTGGTCTATGGTAATTGTACAGATTTACAGGGTGGGTGTGAGAATGTAGTATACAGCATGAACCAAATCAGGATGATTAGCATTTCCATTTTATTTCTTTGTGCTGAGAATCTAAGTAAATAATACCTTTGTCTATTTATTTTATGTTCATTCTCAGCTATGAAAGACCATCTACTATTATTTTGCCCTTCAAAGAGATGTAGCTTCTTAAACCAAAAACTCAATTACATTTGTAAAAGGCAGATAATCCTAACATAGCAGATGGTAGGGAGTAAGAAGGAATTTGTTTCATAAGCAAATTTTATTTTGTTATTGTAAGAGGAATTCATAATGAGTGACACAAATTTAATACAAAGAACACAAGTAATAAATAATAACATGATAAGGAATGGTGAACTTTCATTATTTCCAGTAATGGAAATCTTTGGTGTTAGAAGACAGGGTTTGAATTTCTGGTCTGAAGCTTTGTTGTTTTTCTCTTTAGAAATCAGGGTAATCCTGCCTGCCTTGCTTATTTCACAGGGAGATTAACATGATCTACTCATTTGAAGGACTTTAGCTATTTTAAGGCACAGCCTGTATCTGTGCCTTAAAATACAATACAAGGAGACATGAAAATCCAGAGACCTATGAGGGGGTGGGGGACAACAGAAGGTAGCAGAAGAAAGGCCTGAACCTATGAGAGCAGAATGCTGGTGCTTGCTGACTTGGGGAGGAGATGGAAGTTAAATAGTCCTCTTGATATTTTAAATAGGAAAAATCCGAGTACTGGTTCTTCGTAATATTTATGCTACTGAGATTAACAGAATTAGATCAGAAGAAGATTAAAGTGGAAGAAAAGGTATGTAATTATATAATTTCATGTATTTATGGGTTAATATACTCAAGAGCTCATGCTGTCTGCTGCAGGCCCAATATAATCAATCAGTGAGATGCATAACAATAGGTACATTAATTCCTTGTTTTAGAATCTGTCAGTTGAACCCTCTACAAAGCTGGACATCAACAAATGCAGTGACAAGTGTGGCACTGGTTTAATGGAAAGCTTGGCAGTGAGGAACACAGGGCAACCCTCCTCTTAGCTGTGGCAGGCTACCAGTTTGGATAACTCCTATTTGGAGAGTATGACTCTGTGTTACTTTAGAAATGTATTATAATGTCATTGCATATAGTCAGAAGATACTCACATCACTACTTGGGTATTTTAATTCCTTTAATTCTGCTCTTTTAAAATAGTGATTCATCTGGTCACACAATTCCAGAGTAACCAGACTTTGAATGATAGCATCTATCTCCATCCTTACAAAGCTGTGTTAGAACTTCCACTAATGAGGGATTTCTTACATCGGATGTAAATTTGTGATGGGAATGAAAGCAGGTATAAATATGTAGAGAGGCACATACTCCATTTCACAAATGCCTTTTTTTTTGCAATCTAGGCTAAAAATAGTTATAGGTACTCCCTATTATTCTCAAATCCAAGGCACAGAGTAGATTTCTCTTTTCCTTTAACGGTTTGCAAATGGAATAAAATTTAAAACCACATATTAAGTAAAGGTTCAGTAGATGAGGGTAATGTTTTTGGAAGTTTGGCAATGATAGAGAACTGTACATTTTGAGAAAAAGGTTATCCTTAGATGGAGAAAGACTGAAAAAAGCTTTGGTGGAATGTGAGGTCGTGGGAATAATTCTGGGTGAGAGGGCATGAAGAACAAATTCCCTGGTATCAACTACTTGGAATCTAGAGCAATTAATTTTATTCCTTCTCAAAAGTTGGAATGCTTATTATATTTACAGTAATCAAGGATTTCAGAAGTTTTTTATTTTTTTTCTTTTGTCATTCCCAAACTAGGGAATATAAAGAAATAATTCAAAGGACTCCACTCAATATTTTTTATATTATCATTGTTTAGTCTTAGGAGAGTTAAAGTTGATGTGAAGACTGAATACAAAGGTTCATGGGCATGTGTTAAATTGTTTTGTACATCTGGTTGCACATCTAGAAAATTTCACTAAAGAAAATCTAAGCCTTATCTTCTTTTCAGAAACAAAACATTTCCCCCTTTACTTTTCTAATTCTGGAAAAGGTTTCAGCAGTGAATAAATATGACCCTCCCCCTGAAGTTGTGGCATCCCAAGATCACCTGACCCATGTTGTCAACAGCATGATGCAGCCGCAGAGGATCTTTGACAGGTATTTATTAGAACTCCACAGGTAGAGCTCAGGGTGGGCAAGCAGAAAATAACCTCATCATTTTCTGTAGCCCTCTGTTTTGTGACTCATTCACTATTTGTAGGGATTAATGCTGCTTTCTCAACTTCTCTGAGGGAAGGTGGCCAAGTCTTTATTTGGTGGATTGTTTCATACTTGAATGTACTGCTCTCTCAGTGTTTTCCCAAACATGATGATGAGCTGATTCATCTTCAGTCATCATTGGCCCCTTGTATGTTGGCTAGCTTGAGCCAAATGATAGTGAAATCTAAAATGAAGTTTGTCAACCTTTCTGCCTTAGGGTAGAAACACACACCTTAATCTCATTAACAGAAAATTGTGATCCTTTATATTCATTGTAAATCTTCTCTTAGCTGTGAGCTGATGCTAAATACTCCTGCCAAAGAGCATTCTGTGAATTCAGATTATTAGGGAGTCCCTAGAAGGAAGCCCAGCTAGCCTCAGGGAAACCTGAAATAGTCTTTGCACTGAGCTGCAATCAACCCAGCAGGGAGGAGTCACCCAGCCTGGCTGAACACATGAATAGAGTCTCTCACCTCTAAATTTGAAGACAGATCTACCATGGTATCCCCATTTCTTTTTAAACAATCTGTTGAAGCAGATGGCCATTTATGCTATAAGTATAATGCAGAAATTCTACCAATATCCAAAGGCGTTTTAAAAATACTTGTAAAACTCTTGGATATAAATGACTTCTCTTCCCATGTGGTATTTGCTCCTGTTCTTCACATGGTTGCTTTCCCACAGAGAGCAAAAATGTTTTATTTTACAACCCAAGACATGGTTTTTACATATAACTTAATAATGTAGATACTGATAGTTTTATATGTTTATGGGAGCCCTCTAGGTGAAATGATTTATCATTTATTTGCATACATCTGGCAAAGCACATTTGATTTGAAAGAAGGGCATTTTTGTCCTCATTGTATTTCTTTGTACTTGTTTTATGCTTTAAAGTATATTTATATAATAACATGTATCAAAGAAATTTGTAGCAATATTTGATAAACATATATTTCTTGGTCACTTCTGGCTGTTGGGAAAGCAAGAACAAACAGCAAGCAGGCCCAAATGTTCCAGGAGGGAGCAAAGTTCATGATTCTAGTTCAGTAAGCTGGTAGGCAGCCTAGTTCTTCCCTTTCCCACTCCGGGCCAGCACACAGTTCTCTGGTAGCACCAGCAGCCAGATTCCAGGAGAGGAATCCTGACATGGCCTTGTGAATTGGATTTTCTCCAATTGTATTGGAGAATCACTGTTCCTTTTTCTGGCATTATAGGGATACTTTATTAAAATGACACAGTCAAATCTTTTTGTTTTGGGTTCCGTTGTTATTTAATAAAATACTAATAAATTAAACTTCCTTCCTCTTTCCTTTCTTCAGAACATGTGCTGAAGTCTGGGCATAGAGAAATGATACCCACAAAATAGACTTTGGGGTTTGTGGACCATTGAAACAGTGCTTCCAATTACCCTTATAACAATGAAAATTTCACACATTGAGTATGTCAAATAGCCTTCCGTTAAGTTAGAATGTTCCTCAAAATGATAAGTTTGGTCTGCTGCTCACCTCAGTTATTACTTGGAAAAGCAGTCTTATATTCTATACTTTGTTTGGTGTTTCGAGGGGGAAATCACAGCAGATTTCCTTAGTCATCAAAAACCCATTATGGGATTTCACTGTGCAAGTGATTGCGATCCTTTCTCAGACTAGAAGAAAGTCAGGGCTTGAAGGAGCACGGTTTGCATCACTCAATCTATACAAAAAATATGCCCCATATTTCAAAGGCATTTAAAAATTCTCAAATGATGGTAAACACACAGCCAAATCTTGACTGGCCTTGACTGATTAATAGGTTTCTTGCTCTCTGATACAACAAACTTCCCGAGACACATCTTAAACACATTCTGTCCCAAATCTGGAATTAACCAGTTCTCTAAGATGCCTTGATTTTAGTGAGAAATGGTATTTCCAGGTTCCAATCTGGGCACTGGGATGCTTATTACTACTGGGTTGGTTGTTATTTCTAGGTCTTTTATTGGAAAATGCTAGGAACATACTTCTTTTCTCTGTCCGTCTGTCCATCCATCCATCCATTTAGTCTGTCCATTTATCTGTATCTAACTACATCCATGCAATCTATCTATTCTAGAAAGTTTTATCTATATTTATAGATGGGTTAAATAGCTTCTGAATCCATAGTAATCATTATTATTAAATTTCAAGACTAGAGTTATGCTTTTATTTAACCTCCTATTATATCTATATTTCTTTTTTCTCCAACCAAAAATCCTGGTTCTCAATGGCACAAAGGAGGATGGAATTATAAAATCCCATAATAGCTCATTAAAAAAATCTCATACCATGAGGGTCAGAATACTAATGCTAATATCATCACCAACATGATCACTGGAAAGCATTAAAGACATTTTTTGTCAATGCTCTACCTGTTTAACCCCTCTTCATTTTTTATGGTAAAATATTTATGGCATAATATTTGCCACTCTAGCTATTTTAAGTGTCACATTTAAGTGACATTAGTACATTCACAATGTTGTGTAACCATTGTGACCATCTGTTTTATCATCTGAAACAGAAAGTCTGTACCCATTCAGCAGCAAATCCCCATTCTCCTTGCTCCCAGTCCCTGCTAACCTCTACTCGACTTGCTGTCTCTATGAATTTGCCTGTTTATATATTTCAAAAGGGAATCCACCACCTCATTTTAAAAACAGTGTACTATATTTCTATTGTAAGAATAGCCATCTCATACTATGCTAGCTTTCATTATGCTCATTTATTCTTAATTCAGGGAGCAACTGCACATGTATCACCTATATTACCTGCTACCAGTCCTTATTTCAATGCCTCAGGTCATTTTGGTGAGATGAAGTTTCTTTTCTAGTTGATTCCTTAGGAAGAGCTATGGGGTTGTTAACCTTTGAATTCTTGCCTGTTGATAATAGTTTGTACTCTTTATGTTTGAAAGTAACTTCTACTAAATATGAAATTCATGTGTCACCTTTTCCTCTTACGTATATTAAACACAGTATACTTCATTGTTTGGGCATGAGACATTGTCACAATTCCACCATTTAATTTGTTTTTCCCTGTAAGTCAAGCATTCTTTTCTTCTAGTTGAACTCTTTTTTCTTATTCTTTTAAAAGCTAGTAATTTGGTATTTGGCCTATTTTAAGTATAATGTGTACATATATATATTTTTTTTTCCAGGAAAGTTTTCTCAAATTAGCCTGTAGTTTTTCCTGTTCTTTTGCTTTAATTTTCTTCTTCAGGAATATCTTCTTTGCCTATTCTCAGTATTTGTTCCTTTCTCACATTTTTTTCTGTAATTATTTTTCTAAAATTATTTTGAGATAATTGTAGATGCACATGCAGTTGTAAGTCATGGCACAGTGAAATTCTGTGTATCTTTCACCCAGTTCCCCCACCCCAATAGTGGCATCTTGCATAATTTTAATTGAGCATCAAAACCAGAAAATTGACCAGGAAATCCACCAACTTACCAGATCTCACCAGTTTGTGTCTTTTTAGTTCTACTTAGCTCTGTGCAGTTTTAATATGTGTCAGTTTATCTCAGCACCATTGCAAGATACGGGATACTTTCATTACAAGGATCACTTGTAAATGCCCTCCCTCCCTCTCATTGTCCTCTACCCCTGGCAACCATGAATCTCTCCCCATTTCTTCAATGTTGTCATTTCAAGAATATTTTGTAAATGAAATCATGCATTAATAACTTTTTGAGATTGCTCCCACAACTCAGCATAGTTCCCTGGAAAATAAATGAAGTTGTTGCATGCATCAATAGTTTATTCTTTTTTATTGCTGAGCAGTATTCCACAGTATGGCTAGCTCACTTTCTGTTTAACCACTCACCTGTTGAGGGACAGCTGGGCTGATTCCAGATTTTGGGCACCACTATCAAAGTTGCCACGAACATGCACAAACAGGTTCTTGTACATGCATGTTTTCAGCCTGTCTGCTTCCAGGGAGTATCCAGTGGCTGTTTGGGGAATCCCTGTCCTCAGTTCTGTCAGATGCTACACTAGTGCTCCATTTTAACTCCTGTACAGACCCCAGTACCATGTAGACTTGTGGGGTTGTATTCCTTTAGATACCTTTTCATCTGCTTTTGTTGTACATGTTTTCCCCGGGCTTTTGCTTTCAGGTTTTTCCTATTTCTCTGTGGGTGTCAGAGAAATTGAAAAAATATGCGATTTCTTAGTTTTCACGCAATCTTCACTAAATCCACACTTCAGCCATGCATTTAAAAATATTTTATTTTATTCTGTATTTCTATCATTTGTTTCATGAGTAGAGTTCAGGCACATCAGCTCAGCGTGTTGCAAGAGGTTTTATCCATAAATTCATTCTTTAGTCCAGCCCTCAGATCTGGAAGCCAGGCCTAAAATCATATATCAGGTCTTCCTTTCCTTTGAGCAAATTAATTAACCTTTTTGTACTCCAGTTTCTTCATGTGTTAAGTGGGGACAAAGACAGAAACGTTTTTAATGGTTATCAAATGAGGGAACACAGGTAAAACTTCTGGAGCAGTGCCTGGAACATAGTAATTGCTCGGGTACATTTCAGCATTCCTGTGGTTTGCTTTGCATGCCTGTGTTCTAGTTCAGCAGGTATGGGTGTTGAGCACTCAGCATGTACTCATTTCTTTCTGTCATAAATTCTGGTGTGAATTCTTTGTCAATCAAGAACTAATGTGTCTTACCATAGTTTTCCTTTAAAAAGCTTGATAAATGTACATACATTTGTATTTTACCTTGTTTATTATTTATGCTTTGAACATTATTTTGGAATCTTATAATCCACTTGTTTCTGCAAAATAGGGCCTTCCTTCTATAGTGTCTACATTAGAACAAGTGCTTGTTAATTATGACCGTGACACAGAAGTTTTACCTAATGGGTGTGGCTAATTAATACACGGCACCTCCGATGGGAGTAGGACAGTAATTTGCTCTGCTCTGTGTCTCAGCACCCTCCCCAGTCTGGATGCCCCTTATCCCATGTTGGTACTAGCTGGACCTCAAGCTTGTGGGAAACGAGAACTTGCCCACCGCCTCTGCAGACAGTTTAATACATACTTCAGATATGGGTGAGTTTGTTTTATTCGTATGTAGAACTTGGAAATTCTTTCTACCAAATTCTCAGATATGTTAAGTTTGCTGTTAATTTTTAAGCAAGTTCATTAATCTCTACAACACCTTATTTAAATAACATTTTACAGCAGAGCTAAAAGTGGTAAGTAAATTGAATATTCAATAGATACTAAGCCCTGGTAAGGACTGTGAGAGCTCTGTGAGAGTGTTAGTCCTTGAAGGTCATTGATTGATAAGATCAGATCAACATGACTGTTTCTTCTTGGAACAATTAGGAGTATTGATTCTTGTGGCATCCTAATTAATGTAGTAAAGATGATTGTTAAAGTATACTCCTACTTAAAAAATAATAAGTAATAGGAGGAAACAAAATATTTTGTCTGTTTTGAAACTGACTAAACACATAGCAGTGACTGCTGCCTGAACAAAAGAACAAATACGTCACATCCATGCCATTAAGACACCTTTCCATAAAAGGTCTTCAGGTTTTTGCTATTATTTGTTATGTCTGTGTTTATGATACTGCAGTATACACTGTATTTTGTTTAAGTTAGCTTGGCCTCAGCCCACATTCGCTCATCTCTTTGATTGGACAGAGAGGTATTAAAAGGCAGGATCCTTTTCTTGCCATGCGATGTGGCAGCATGAACCACAGAGTTGCGATGTGTGGCCCTCCCAGAGTTCCGCTCAGGACACAGGGTGGCAGCACTTGAGCTTCCGTGTCTCTAGACAGGTCTTCCTTTTGTAGGCACATTTTAGCAGGAAGGATAGAGAAGGGGCAGCAAAAGTGTTTCCTGTCGGGCTGGGATGTAGCTCAGTGGTACAGCGCTTGCCTAGCATGCGTGAGGCCCTGGGTTCGATCCCAGCACCAAAAAAGAAAAGACAAAAAAAAAAAAAAACCTCTCCCCAAAAGTGTTTCCTGTCCTTTCCTTCGGGTTTGCACTCAGTTCAATGGAAATTTTCTGAAGCAAATATTTTGGTGAATGGTCACTAAAGATAAAACCACCTTAGGAAACCATCCCACTGGATTTACTTTTTTTTTTTTTTTTTTAGAGGTTTCTGGGAATCAGATTTAGAATTGAACTGTGGTCTTTTAAAATGCTTTTCTCTTTTAGAATTACTTTTACATTGGTGGTGTCTATCAGTGAGATGAGGATATGACTACAAAAATATATAGGACAGCAAGAAAAATAAGTACAGATTATTTTTCTAATACTGTTATATACTACATGTTCACACAGCGTAATTACTATTTTAACCAGTTCCATTTATTTAGATATTTAAAATTATATTTTTGTTTCTAAAGTTAGCTAGAGAGGCCCTGGGACTCTTACTATTTTAAAAATTGATACTTCCTCCTCTTCTATGAGCCCTCCATGGTCTGAGGTAGGAGACCGTTCTGGTGTGGGGATGACCTGGAAGACCCTGGTCAGCCTACCTAGGCCTGGACTGTGTACCTGGGAGACAGTTCTCAAGTGCAGAAATATACTTCCTACCCCTGCCATGCTATGTGATGGCTTCTTGTTGCTAGAGATACTATTTTTTTGAGGAGACACAAAAATTTAAAAAGTATATTCACATATATGTGTATATGTATACATGTAAAATGTGTACGTGTATAAAATGTGTATGTATACATATGTATGTATACATGTATAAAACTAAACAAATATTTGTATTTATAAAAAATTGTAACCCACATTTGGACAACTCTAGGACACAAACCCTATAGAATAATTTGATTAGCATAGTTTAAATACTCTGAAGTAAAAAAATTAAAAGTTTTAACATTAAAATAAAGAGTGCCATTATGTTCATATGCGGAGCACCATATGCATGGAAACAACACAAGGAATCTCCCTGTGTAGCTATCTTTATCTTAAACTAGCAAAAACACGGTGTTTCTCTTATTATCTTTTATGTTTTTTCTTCTACAAAATCAGAGAACGGGAGGGAGGGGGAGGGTGGAACAGGTTGTGCCCAGGGCGGGGATAGGGGTGGCACTGATGGGAAAGGGAGATGACGGAGAAAGGGGTAGGAGGATGAATATGGTGCAAATAATGATACACATGTATGTAAATGCAAAAATGATACCTGTTGAAACTGTTCCAGGAATTGGGGGAGGGGGAATGAAAGAGAGCAGTGGAAGGAGTGAATTCAGGTAAGATATATTTTGATACATTGTAAGAACCTTTGTAAATGCTACAATGTACCCCCCACCCAGCACAACAATAATAATAATAAAATAAAGATGGGGAAGCTGGTGTTTGAGGGTAGAGACTGACCTACCTCATCTAATAGCCAGTCCAGAACAGTGGCCTCCTAAGGCCACTTATTTTGGAGATAAGAAATATCATGCTGTAACTCATAAAATAGCCAGAACTATCATTCTATCCCATATATCCTTGTTAGTAATGGTGTCTGTGCACTTTTTTATATCTTAGATAATAGTGCAGATTTCAAGCGTATTTTGATCCTGTCTTCTTTTTATTTATATTCACAGCATATATACATCTACATATAAATGATTGTGATCATACTATGAAGTAGTAGCATGAAATATTATATAAAAGTGTATATTGACATTAAAGAAAAGATCAAGCTGAACACGGTGAATGAAGGGTCAAACTAAGGAAAAGAGCGTTAACCATTGTGCTCACGTGGAACCTTTTAGTGAACCAAAGTGACGTAGGGAGCCAAGGCTTTCTTTGGCTCCTTTCACATCTCTGATAGTAATTACGTTGCTAACAGTAGGTCTTCCGGTCATTTTATTTTGGTGATATGCTCCTGCCAACACATGCTTGGCCCCATGTGTTCTCGGAGATCTTTATTGACTTATCATCAAGATTCTAGTCCATAGCGAAACTCTCTGCGTAGATACCTTAAACATACACAAATGTCTTTTTTCAAAAATGGAGGTAAAACAGGTCCTGTGTGGGGGGTGTCACAATGGGAGAGGGGAAGATACAGAAGATATAAGGAAGGTGAATGTGGTGGAAATGTTATGTACTCATGTATAAAATTGGAAAAAATGAGACCTGCTGAAACTAGAATGAGGGGAGGGGGCATAAAGGAGAATGATGGAGGGGGTGAATTTGACTAAGATTTATTGTAAGCACTTTTGTAAATGTCACAATATACCCTCAGAACAAGAATAACATGATTTTTTAAAAGATTCTAGTCTAATCTGCCCCTGCATTCTTTCCTGGGCAGGCCCTCCAATTACTCATTTTTCAAAATCCTGTATTTTCCTTATTATAATGTTTATCCACCATGCTTCAATTGATTTATTATATGTCTGTTTTCCCTGCTTGTCTGAATCTCCACGAGAGTAGGAGTTTTGTCAGCCTTGAGTTTTCAGTGCCCACCATATGGTCAGGTGCTTAATGCATGTGTGATAAGTACTTGTTAAATGTCTAACTGGTTGAGTAAGTTGATGATTGAATTAATGGCAATAAATGCAACGTGTAGTAGAAATGACCGTGATAAGAAGCATAGATGATTTTCCTGATGCATATATGGAGAACTGGATGGATTCATTCATTCAATAAATATTTTTGGAGATCCTCCCAGTACTAACTAGTCTATGAGGTTACAGTGGGATCAAGACTGGTGAGGTCCTTGTCTTCATGAAATTAAAATCTAGTGGAGAACTCATACTCTAGGTAATTAGGGATGTGTAAATTTTGTGTGCAGACATGAGATGGCAAAACAGAAAATCCTAAAATGAACTTGTCTTTTATTATTAGTGTTGCTACTATAACTTTTATCCTCTGGGCTAGAATGAGTGGCAAGTGGACAAACACTTCTGACTACCTCTACCAAATACATCCTCATTCATCTACCTACCTCATGCATCTCTACCCCAGCAGAGATCCGGGCTGGCTCAGTGGCATATCATTCTAAGAATTCCATCAAGACCTGGATGTAAGACTATGCCATTGGATTTTTAAAAAGGACATTAGGTAGCTAGTAATTTTCCTACTGAGAAAGTTAGATAGTTTTACCATATATGCAGCAACTTTCTAATTAAAACCAAAGCTAGAACCAAAGCACACTTCAGGGACAAGTCACTGTTCTTGTTTACATCTCCTTTTCTTTTATTCTGTGTCCAACATAAGTTTTATTGATTTTTAATTAAATGAAAGCAGCTATAATACAGTCTCGTGGTAAAACATCAATGATTTACACAGGTGGTTTCCTTGCTATTTACTTGAATCTTTTCCTTTCCCTATTTCTTTCATTTTCTCCTGGTATTTTCCTTCGTTTTTAAATTATATTGACCCAAAAGCAAGAAATTCAGTGAAATTTTCATATGCTAGGTTGCATGTCAAGAAATATAAATAAGAAACATAATTCAGTTGTGTAGCAAATAGTGCTGTGACTGAGATTTACTCTAGTCTTAGGTTTTGATTTTGCTGTTTGTTGTTGTTTTTAGATAGGTGAATGTTCTTTTTTTAACCTGTGTTAGTTATGGGTGGCCTGGAGATATGTGTTTACTGCTTTCAAAGTCTATTTTTTTTTCTAACTTTATATTACCACACAAATCAGTGACTTCATGGAAAAGTGCTGGATAATGAGGGCAACACAAAACAATTCCAGCATGCCTGTTTTTCTTCCAAATTTAAGGCCATTCTAGTGATCTGAATAGTCTCAAAAGTAAAACTTTATTCTTCTTTACATCTCTGTTTTATAGCAGTCTCTATTTTTACAACTTTCTCATCATGTTGACTGCAAAATAGATTTTACTTTTAGCAGCATGTGAAATAAAAGACCACAGCTACTTAGCTACGGAAGACAGCATGAGCTATAGCAACCTATGTGCAGTCTTACGTAATGTACCCATTTATACAAATGTAACAGGCTTATAGAATGGTTCAGTTATTCCTTCACTCAATATTTATTAAGCATGGTCCTTAGCATGTGCTAGTAATAAAACTGAAATGAACAGACATGGCTCTTGGCCTCCTGGCAGCTTGCAATCAATCTAGGATAAAATTTAAAAGAGGAAATCCTATCTGACAAGATAGCTTGATAGGTGTCATTATGAAGGAAGTAAAGAGCTTTGTGATAGAAGTAAAAGTGAAGTGGAAGGTGGGGCTTGGAAGGATGCATGCCCAGGGGAGAGAACAGGCACGTTTCGTTAAGTGAAAGTACAAATTATAGTATAAGCTCAAAGGCTAAGCTTCAACTATGAAAGGAGATGGGCAAAAGACAAGACTGGAAAGATAGACAGGGATCTGATCACAAGGATTTTTAATCAGGAAATAGGATGAATCTAGTTGTGTTATAGAAAACATACTCTTTGGGCATTTGGGGACGTGTTGGGAAGGAAGGCTGGAGACTACTAGTTAGAATGTAGTTAAAATGAGTTAGGTTGCATGCAGTTACAGAAACGTGGGCAGAGTAGTGGCTTCATGGAATCCAATTCTCAGACACAGGATGTGTTGAATCCCTTGTAGTCACATTTCCTTAAATTGTGTCTATCAATTTAGTAACATATTTAAATTGGGTGTTAAGACCAATTTAATTTACCTACCAAATGCTCCAGGAATACCTGGACTTTCAAGGATACCCATTGAAAGAGCTCTCTTACTAACAGTATGAGGTGTTGTAATGTTCTTGAATTCAGGTATGTTCATAGCCAAGCCTCTGTCTCAATATAAGTAGTAACAAGAAGCCCATTGTTTCTTGAGGCCATCTGGTCTAGAATTGGAGATTCTGTGGCTGAATACTTTTGAATCACACTTTTAAAAAAACCCCTCTTCCTCATCTACCTGCTAGCTCTTCTTAGACATCTTTTCTTCCTATTACTTTTCCCTGGATATCTTAGAATTCCATTGTTTGGCCTGACCATCCAGATTCATTTCTCTCCTGATGGTCTCCTTTCCATGGACTTGGGTTGTTAGCAGTCTGGATGATAGCCTTGTTAGAATGTCAAAGCTCCTCACCCTCAGGCTTTACAACCAGAGGAGCATTCTGGGGTTAGTTTTCATCTCAGTCCTTTTGTTTGTAAAGTGAAACTAACAGGCAGGATGGCTCCCATTACAAACTATGACTTATCTAGTAAATTAATTAGTAAATACTAAAGTCATGAAAAAACTAAAGCAGAGGAGGGGAAGAATAGCGAAAGTGGTGGCCCAAGCAAATTTATTTGTCTAAAATTTGGCACCATTTTTTCCCAAGTAAGTTTGGTGTAGCATTGGTTTTACTGTGAAGAATTTCCTTTTCAAGATGTTTGTATTTGGGCAGCATTCTACACAGCAGACGTTTCTGTAAGTGAAAATTGGATGACAGATTTGAAAACCCACAGGTCATCTTTGGTCCTTCTTAATAGAAAGTTCCACAGAGGTCACAGGTCTGCCATCAGCATTCTCCACATCAGTGGATTCACTTCTTTGTTTACTGGCCTCCGTGCTTCAAATTGCTTCTTTGTTTTGTCTTTTTTTTTAAGAAATTCTGAAAAACTCCCTGCTGCTCAATTCCTTTGTTGGGAAATGTAAATTCAGTGTAGCGTGTAAAGACTGCACTAAGGGTTTGCAGCTCTGGATGCCAGGCCACAGAGTTATCTTTCCTCACTGTCAGGTACACTAGTAGACAGAGGGCCTCAGGTCTCTGCCAAGGCATGGGGAGAAATGCCAGTGAATTCCAACAACAAAACAAATGTCAGTGTTTTGACAGTCTTCTCTTAGAACATACACTCTTTCCTGAGTATACAATTTAAATGTAATGTTAAGATTTCCTAGTATAGTTAATTCTTGATTATACTAGAACGCAAACAGTCACATGAATTATAAATATTTATATGCCCTTGACTTGGTCATGGAGAGGCTTTTGAGATTGCAAAGTTACCTTCTTAATTAGTGTGATATTAAAAAAATGTTAACTTTAGAGTCATTCTGGCCTTCTATTTAGTTACATATGTAATTGCTGTGCCTCAGTTTCACCATCTAGAAAATAAAAATAAGAAATAATATCTGTCTCTTTTTTTTTGAGAAAAAATAAAATAATTTTTCAAGTGCCTAGCTATTCTCATTTATCTTAAAACTGTAGGATAATCTAAACATTAGTTTGCATTCCCAGAACTGAGCATTGAGAAGGCAAAAATCAAGAGTCCTGGGGAGTTGAGACCCCTATATTCTGGTTCTGGGACTGACACCAACCTGCAGTGTGAGCTTGGACAGTCATTTTTATAGTCATCTGTACAGTAGATTTCTTAGCAACTATTATCTGCTTCACATGCTTCATTTTATTTTTTTGATTTTACAAATATTTGGTGAAGGCCTGTATGTGCTAGGCATTGTGACTGTACTAGTGAACAAGATGAACAGGACAAAGTCCTCCATTCCTGCTTACGTGTTCTTCTGGGGAAGCTGGGAAAATCAGATAACTATGAAAGAAGGCAGTTCTAGTGATGGAGAGTAATGGGGGGAGTGGTGAGTAGGAATGCTATTTCAAGCTAGAAAAGTGGTTAGAAAAGGCTTCTGTGGTAGGGTTGAGAATTCCACTCAATATTACAGTCATGGATTCCCATGGAAGGTTTATGTCCAATTTGATATGGGCCCGCAGTGCAGGGTGAATGAGTTGTCTCTACCTCAAGTGATAGAAAAGATGGGGCCCTGAAGAACAATAGAGATGCAATTGATGCAGGCTGAGGTATGGGAGTATGAAGAGATGTATAATGCACCATAGGAGGTCAGAAAAAGATTGGGGTGGGTGACACTTAAATTGAGTCCTGAAAAACAGGTGACCAACTAGGTGGAAGGAGAAGAGTTGTGCCTGCAGAAAATGCTCATAGATTACAGAGAATAGGAAAGCAGCTGGACAAATAACCAATATCATTATACTTCTTAAAGTATTACTATGTGATGGCAGAGGGGGTGATTCAGAAGGTGATAAATAACAGTGAGTAAAAATTTGATATTGATAAGCCAAATTTTTTATATAACCCGTATAGACTATAATGATTAAATGAAGTCTAGCACTTCAAAACCACAATGTTTTCACAATTATATTACTTTATGATTTATGGTTTGTGGATCAATTTCAGTTTTTAGACATTTTTTTATACTGAAAGCTTTTCCACTTTGAATTTCAAGTTAATAGAAATAGAGTAGGTTATCTATTTTATGATTTCAGAGCCTGTCACACCACAAGACCACCTTACTTTGGAGAAGGGGATCGAGTTGATTATCATTTTATCTCTCAAGAGGTTTTTGATGAAATGCTAAACATGGTAAGAATGTTTTCCTCTATTTTTGTTGTACAAGCAGTATATATTCTCTGTCAGAAATATTAGGAAATGGTGATTTTTAAAAAGGGGAAATTTTGTGCTTGTTCTAAATCTTATTTAACTTGAGTTTTGCACTTAGTGGACCCCTTATAATCTAGTCATTCATTTTCATGAACACAACTTATTTGTTCCTTTCTGATCTTCATATTTGAAGGGCATCCTCACAACCCTACTATGTTTTAGCCATTGAAAGTGTATGCTAATGTCAGTACAGATCTACTCATCTATCTCAGTTAAGCTGAGAATATCTCATATCATCACTATTAATAAATCTGTAAACCTCTTAATTTTTCTTCACCGTAGGTCTTGTTTTTGTTTATATTATTATTCTTTCTATTGCCAAGTGAATCTTATACCACTGAGGGACCAGGAGAGGGACCAATCTATGTTATTACCTTTGAAAGGTCACCATCCAGCCAGTGATACTGCTACAGTTACATCTCCCCTCCTCTTTTTCCTCCTTCCCTTTTCAGTCTTTACCCCCCAAATAATGGACCTGGCTTATACTGCTAATGTACATAGTCATGGAACATTTAAACATACATGCTTCAGTTTCCATTTGCTCAATTTTGAATGACAAGCTCTATATATGGTGCATGATTTTAGGACTTTCTTGTAGTCACAGAGAAACAAAAATGAGAAAGTTCTATACTCCTAAGGCAACTTTCTCTGTAACTTTGTCAAAGGAACGTCTTAGGCATTATAATTTTTCTCTCCTAGGACTATATTTTGGCAGTTTAGTTTGATTTATTAAGAGTGTTCTGGAATTTCGTATTTCCAAAAGCCTTAATAGAGATTTGAGGAGTTATCTTCATATTACTAAGATGCATTCTCTTAGGATTCTAGGTTGAAAGACAGCTAGTTCCTCCTATACACTGTTAGTGGAAAACAAATTAGTCCATTTACTGTGGAGATCCATATGGATAGTCCTCAAAAACTAAAAATAGAACTATCTTATGACCCAGCAATACCACTCCTGATATAATACTCATGGAATTCAAAGTCAGCATGCAATGCAATAGAGATACTGCACACCCATGATTGTCATAGGACTTACTCACAATGGCCAAGTTATGGCGTCAGCCCAGGTGTCTCACCTCTTAGGATTCTAGTTGAAAGACAGCTAGTTATCCTAATACACTGTTAGTGGAAACAAATTCATGCCATTTACTGTGGAGATCCATATGGATAGTCCTCAAAAACTAAAAATAGAACTATCTTATGACCCAGCAATACCACTCCTGGATATATACTCAATGGAATCAAAGTCAGCATGCATGCAATAGAGATACTTGCACACCCATGTTTGTCATAGTACTACTCACAATGGCCAAGTTATGGCGTCAGCCCAGGTGTCTACCTCAAAAAAAAATCAAATACCTAGGTGTAAACCTAACAAAAGATGTGAATGACCTCTACAAGGAAAACTATACACTTCTGAAGAAAGAGATTGAGGAAGACTATAGAAAGTGGAGAGATCTCCCATGCTCATGGTTGGTAGAATCAACATAGTAAAAATGTCGATACTCCAAAAGTAATCTACATGTTTAATGCAATTCCCATCAAATTCCATGACAATTCATTAAAGAGATTGAAAAATCTACTGTTAAATTTATATGGAAACACAAGAGGCACGAATAGCCAAGCAATACTCAGTCAAAAGAACAATGCTGGAGGTATCACATACCTGACTTCAAACTATATTACAAAGCAATAACAATAAAAAAGCATGGTACTGGCACAAAAACAGACATGAAGACCAGTGGAACAGAATAGAGGACCCAGATATGAAGCCACACAACTATAACCAACTTGTCTTTGACAAAGGAGCTAAAAATGGAGAAATAGCAGCCTCTTCAACAAAAACTGCTTGGGAAACTGGTTAGCAGTCTGCAAAAAACTGAAACTAGATCCATGTATATCACCCTATACCAAGATTAACTCAAAATGGATCAAGGATCTTAATATCAGACCACAAACTCTAAGTTGATACAAGGAAAGAGTAGGAAATACTCTGGAGTTAGTAGGTATAGGTAAGAACTTTCTCAAGAAACCCCAGCAGCACAGCAACTAAGAGATAGCATAGATAAATGGGACTCATAAACTAAAAAAGCTTCTGTTCATCAAAAGAAATGGTCTCTAAACTGAAGAGAACACCCACAGAGTGGGAGAAAATATTTGCCAGCTATACATCAGACAAAGGACTGATAACCAGAATATATAGGGAACTTAAAAACTAAATTCTCCCAAAACTAATGAACCAATAAAGAATGGGCAAGTGAACTAAACAGAACTTTCTCAAAAGAAGAAATTCAAATGGCCAAAAACACATGAAAAAATGCTCACCATCTCTAGCAATAAAGGAAATGCAAATTAAAACCACACTAAGATTCCACCTCACCCCTGTTAGAATAGCCATCATCAGCAACACCACCAACAACAGGTGTTGGCGAGGATGCGGGGAAAAAGGAACCTCTTACACTGTTGGTGGGAATGTAACTAGTACAACCACTCTGGAAAAAAATTTGGAGGCTACTTAAAAAGCTAGACATGATCTACCATTTGATCCAGCAATACCACTCTTGGGGATATACCCAAAAGACTGTGACCAGGTTACTCCAGAGGCACCTGCACACCCATGTTTATTGCGGCACTATTCACAATAGCCAAGTTATGGAAACAGCCAAGATGCCCACACTGACGAATGGATTAAGAAAATGTGGTATCTATACACAATGGAATTTTATGCAGCCATGAAGAAGAACGAAATGTTATCATTCGCTGGTAAATGGATGGAATTGGAGAACATTTCTGAGTGAGGTTAGCCTGGCCAAAAGACCAAAAATCTATGTTCTCCCTCATATGTGGACATTAGATCAAGGGCAAACACAACAAGGGGATTGGACTATGAGCACATGATAAAAGCGAGAGCACACAAGGGAGGGGTGAGGATAGGTAAGACACCTAAAAAATAGCTAGCATTTGTTGCCCTTAACGCAGAGAAACTAAAGCAGATACCTTAAAGCAACTGAGGCCAATAGGAAAAGGGGACCAGGAACTAGAGAAAAGGTTAGATCAAAAAGAATTAACCTAGAAGGTAACACCACACAGGAAATCAATGTGAGTCAATGCCCTGTATAGCTATCCTTATCTCAACTAGCAAAAACCCTTGTTCCTTCCTATTATTGCTTATACTCTCTCTACAACAAAATTAGAAATAAGGGCAAAATAGTTTCTGCTGGGTATTGAGGGGGTTGGGGGGGAGATGGAGGGGGATGGAGTGGGTGGTAAGGGAGGGGGTGGGGGCAGGGGGGAGAAATGAACCAAGCCTTATATGCACATATGAATGATAAAAGAAAAATGAAAAAAAAAATAAAGTATCTGCTTTAGTTTCTCTGTGTTGAGGGCAAACAAATGCTAAGTTAGACATTTCTTTTTTTCTCTCATATACAGAATCTACATTTTTTTTAAAGACATGAAAGTAGTAGGGGGACAACTTGGGAAGAGGAAGGGGACTATTAGGAGGGGGATAAGAGAGTAGCAAGGGGGTGAATATGCCTAGAGTACATTACATGCATGTATGTAAATGTCATAACTAAACCTGTTATTTTGTACAATTAATATATACTAAAAAGACAATTAGTTGCCAACATTGATGTCAGTCTTCTCCCATTGAAATAAGAGGTTTTTACTGAGTTCAGTTCATCTGTTCTCAGTACATGCCAGAGGCTTCTCTGATGTTCCAGACCTTATCAAGTCTATAATCAAGTCAGTTTGGTTCAATTCCTAGTCTGAGAAATCACTGCACTTCTGTACCATATTTAACCTCCTTATGGTTTTACTTCCTCTAAAAAAATCCTCATGTGCTTGAGAAGTACTCCTTTTTACTGTTCTGCTAACATATTTTACTTCAATATAATGTAATTTTCTTCATCTTGGATTTTGCCTCTGGCCTCCTTTTCTTTAATGTGTGTGGCTGTTTCATGATAAGAGATAAACCTAGAGATTGTAAATTTATGACATGTCAGCTTTGCCAATAATATCCACACACTGGGACCTCTGCACATAGAACAATTCTCCACATAGCACTCACCTAGACAGCTTGGCCCCTCTCAGACACCCTGAAATACTCTATCCACACACCTGTGTGGACAGTCACACCTACCTGGTATGACAGGGACAACACATAGACATGCAAACCCTCCCACGTCTACATGCCTCCTCCAACAAACACCTTTCCCAACCTACAGATCATTTCCCCCACATCTATGCAGACACATGACCCTTCTTTACTGTCACATGTCCAGGTCAGTTTTCCTGCAGAAAGTCCCTGTCGTTGAAATGAAACTGCAGGCCTGGAGTCTTTTGAAGTATGACTTTTGCTATTTATTGGGAAATCCACATGTAGCAGGGAAAGGAAAGTGTGACCAGCAGAACTAGGTGGAGGTGGGGAGGAGTGAGTCATCTCAGTGATTAATAAGTCGTTTTAATGGAATCTCTTTTATACATATATGTGCGATGCAAGACTCCTCCCAACCCCATATCCTTTCAGAAATGTTTTTAGGATCCACAGAAGAAGGTGCTTGTATATACTAGTAAATAAATATATGTATCTAAAAAGTAATTTAGATATGTAGTCATTTTTTAAAAAGAAGGTGACAGAATATTAGTCAGAATTCTCCTGAGAAAGAGAACCAATAGGATGTGTGTGTGTATGCAGAAAAAGAATTAGAACCAGAAATTGGCAAGATTGACAAGCCCAAATCTGCAGTGTGGACTGGGCAGCCTGGAGGCCAAGGAGAGCCATGGTATGGGTAAAGCCCAGACTCATTTATTTGTTCTGTACAGGCTTTCAACTGATTGGATAAAGCCCACCACCACTGTGAAGTACTATGTGCTTCCTCAGAGTTCACCAGTTGAAATGTTAATCTCACCCCCAAACATACTCCAAGCTGACACATAAAAATAAACACCAAGTAAACATCACTAACAGTACAAGATAATATATATATATATATATATATATACTGGAAAGGAGAGCCAGACATCTATATCTATCTATCTATCTATCTATCTATATCTATCTATCTATCTATCTTATCTATCTATCTATCTATCTATCTATCTATCTATCTATCTTATCTATCTATCTATCTATCTATCTATACACACACACACACACACAACATACCACACCCTTGGTATCCATGGGTATACAGTTCCAAGGAGCCTGCTATAGAGGAAAAACCACAAATGCTCAGTTTAATACTGTAGTGCAGATGCTTGATTCATTTTTTCCATAACACTGTCCAACTTCTGCTAAAGACATGACACCTTTCAACATACCTAAAAATTTCATTTTATCTTTTGAAGCACATTAACTGTTTACCTTGCTTTGGGAGTACCATTTGCTCTTTGGGAGGCAGAATGTTACAGAATCAAGGGCAGGAAAATGCTCAGCAGATCACACAACCTAACCCACAGTCACCCATATCTCCAGAACATCTGGGGCCAGGAGGGCAGCAATAGACTCTTACCTGCTGCTGTTCTCAAAGAAGCTTCTGCCCTCTGATGGAATGCAAAGCAACCCTGGAAGTTTTTCACTTCATAATTTATTTTGAAACCATGCATGTGAGAAGTCATACTTAACCAAGGCCAACCACATTTTTATTCCTTCTGCTATCATCAGCCTCCCAGTTTAGATGAGACCTAGTGGTTTAATAAACATAATATTGTCAAAGAAAAAGTCATAGACAATTTGAGGGGCATGTTTTTAGGTGCATTTTCTTTTCTTTTTTTGGCAAAGGAGTACAGCTGTTGGAGGAAATGAGTTTCTATGATACAGAGGTAGGGCAGTATTTATAGTTCAAATAACTATAGGGCAGGCAACCATTCTGCTAAATAACATTTGGGCCGTTTCAATTAAAAGTTAATTTATGAGGAAAAACAGGATGGGTATACTTTTCAAAGCTTTTAGGATGCCCCTGTAATTCATAGCCTTCAGGAATTACCCCTTAACTCATGGCAAGGCTTTGGGGAGTGGGATCCTATTCTGGACTACTTAGGATGCTGGCATAGATGAAAATGCAGAGGCAAAGGGCAAGCTCTTAGTTTTACTTTCTCAGTAATTAACGTTTGTGTTCCAAGTTTGGCAGGAAGTGGGTATGTAAGCCCAATGGATCTGTTCTACCATAAGCTTTGGTCCTAAACCCTCCTCTAACATTTTGTTAACAGGTTATTTTTAAAACCTAATTTTTTTGGTCAGCTGAGAATTCTGAATAAATTTCTCTATCACAGTTTGATATTAAGTTTCATTACATAGTTGCTAATATTTTTAAGTGTTATGGAATTATGTAAAAATATATCAAATTGTTCTACTTATATTAAATTATATTATGGTCACTGTTGTATGAAAATCTTTGTACTTTTCAAATTCCAGGGGAAATTCATTCTAACATTTAATTATGGTAATCACAATTATGGATTAAACAGGGACACTGTAGAAGGTATTGCAAGAGATGGATTAGCAAGCTGTATTCATATGGAAATAGAAGTAAGTGTTCTTCATTCGATCAATTTTGTGTGTGTGTTAGGTTCAGGCTACAGTGAGCAGCCAGCACACTGCTAGGCACAAGAGAAATGCATACAAAAATGTGAGGTATATTTAATATGGGGGAGATAAAACATGTGAAAAGCTAAGTGACAGAAATTAGGTTATAAAACAGGAAATTGCACATATAGAATGAGTAAAACTACCAGTCAAGATTCATTTTCTTTTGTTTCCTCACTAAATTATCCTCTTTCTTTTCATAGCGTGGTCTCTGTTTGTAGAAAGTGATGTTAGATAAAGCCTGATTCTTGCAGGGTCTGTCTCCTCAGGACAATGGCAGGCCTGAGTTCCTCATAGGATATGTGTGGGCCATGCTGTCATTTAACTGCAGTTGCTCATTGGGTGCAATATTTATATATTTCCAACAATTTGGACTTTCAGATTTCAGGAATTTTCTCTCTGCCACACATCACGTCTTTTACCAACAATCTTCTGAAATTAGATTATGCAGACATTTTTCTAAAATTAAGATTCAGCATAAAATCATGAAATTCCTACTCACTTGTTTTACAAACATACAGCTTTTTTAAATACTTGAAATCTTTAAAGATGGCTGATTTTTTTTCAAGTTACATTCACTGAGCAGTATAACACTTGGAATCAAGAAAACAAATTATAAAAATAACTGAAGCAAACTTATAGTAAAGAAAAACTTAGGCAAGGCTAGTATTCCTTTCCTATTGACTCTCAGTCTTCCTGTGCTTTGGTCTGTAACTTTATAGAGTAGAAGACTGCAGTCCCTTTTTTTTGGCTCCTTGTATTGGTTTAAGTGTTCCCTAGGGTCAACAAAACTGGTCACATTTCCTCCAGCTCTTTAACTTTCTGTATAGTCTTTCCATTCTCACCTTTCTGTAGTTGATTGATTTTGTATCTTTAAAAGGGGTCTTCTTTGTTTCTATGCTAATTAGTTAAAAACAAAAAAGACCTGCTCTGAAAAATTTCTACGTTGGGCAAGGCAGAAACAAAAATTAATGCATTTTTGGGTGTAGAAAACACTCCATTCTTTTGTGATTACCTTTTATTCAGCTCAGCAGTTATCTAAGTGATGTTTTCCCTTTTTTCCTCCTTCAGAGCTTATTCCTACTCATTTCCAGGAGGTTGAAGCTATAAACCATGTATAATGCCCCTGGTTCTCTCCAGCTGAAGTATTTTTCCAAACTGCTCTTGTGGTTGACTCTTCCAGAAACTGTTTTAAAAAGAGCTTGTATTTCTTCTTACTGAATTTTTAAAAGAAAGATTTTGAACTTGGGTTAAATTAATGATGATAGAATTGAGATGGAAGGGGCTTTAGACTTTAGAATAGCTCATTCCTCCCATGAGAAAACTGATACCCAGAGAGCCTTGGGGATTTTTGCAGAGCCTCTAGGAGCTGGAGAGCTGGGGTCACAACTAAGCTCTCCAAGTTCATAGGCTTGTATCTTGCACTGCTTCATGCTGTGATCTCCTGGTTAGTAGGTTTCCATGAGCTTGGCCTTCCTGGCTCTGGATAGAGGATGTGAGATGTCATTGGAACCAATGACCAGGCTCCTGGCTTAGGAATAGGAAGGGTCCCAAGGTGATGACAGAGGGGTAGAAGGAGACTTTTCTACCTGGTAAGAGCTTTATTTCTGGTATTCTAGGGAAGATTTTTGAAATAATGGAATTGATACTACTTTTCAGTAATAAAGCTGTGAATGTACCTTTTTTTATATTTAGCAATTTTCTTTTTTAATAGTCACATTCATTAGAATGATTAATTAGAGGAAAACTAGGTGGAATGAATTCTAATATTTCCAATGATTATTTAACATTTGATGAAGAAAGAAAAGTAATCCAACCTTGAAATATTTGTAGAAAAACAGTGGCTAATTCTACAGATAAAATAAATTCTTCAATATAATACTACTTATTGTACCTATGTTGTCAGATGTCTCCAAAACAATTTGTAAATCATGTATCTGTTTCCAACTTATTATCTTTTCTTTAAATGCCTAGGGTGTAAGAAGTTTGAAATATTCCTATTTTGAGCCACGATATATCTTGGTGGTACCTGTGAATAAGGAAAAATATGAGGGATACTTACGGAGAAAAGGGTTATTCAGTCGTGCAGAAATTGAATTTGCTGTCTCTAGAGTGGACCTTTATGTTAAAATTAATCAGAAATTTCCAGGATATTTTGATGCAGTAATCAATGCAGGTCAGTAACCCTCAGCAAAGTTTTACTTTTGAAGTATAAGGTCATTGCATTAAAAGTTTGTGTCATGGAAAGAAAATTCATAGGGAAAAGATTTATTTGTTAAAACAGTGAATTGCAAAAAGCTACAAAAAGGGATAAGAGTTCATGAGCTCTAACCTTCCACTGTTCTAACCAGCATATTGTCTTTATTATTCCTTAAGATCTTAACTAGTAAAATTGGCATAAAATGGGCATGCAATAATTTCTTCCTTAGAGGAGATTGTGAGAGCAAAGTTATTTAATATATAATATGAAAGACACACTTAAATTTTTAGGAAGGCATATGAAACTAACATTGTTTTATCATAATCTGCCTGTAGATAAAAACTCAACTACTAAAACTGTCTAAGCATGAAAATATTTATAAAACAAACATTTTCAAAAGCTATCTTAGAAATGGCCACTTATTTGGAACAGTAGTCAGAGGGAGAATTTATTGAAATATGAAAATTTCTATATATTTTAAAACTATGGTAAATCATACATCCATAAAAAAAGAATGAGCAAACACTGAGTGTATATATATATAATATACATATATAAAGATATATATATTATATATATATATAAAGATATATATTTATATCTTTATGCTTCTGTTCCTACAGAAGGCCAGGTTCATAACAATAAATATAGTATGCCATCATTTACATTAAAAATAATTATATAATTGCGGTTTTTTGTACTACATAAAATTGTCACTGGACGAATCCTCAAAAAACAAAAACAAACAAACTCATTACAGTGAATACCTTGTTGGTGGGACACTGAGCAGATGAGGAATATTAAACTAAGCCATATGAAAGTGCTATATTCAACTATCTGGACTGTGCAAACAACAATTTTATATGGTTCATCTTAATAGTGTTTGATCTCTGAACATGCTAATTCATTGCATATTCATGTTGGTTTTCTATTACTGCATAGAAATGATCACAGTTAGTGGTAAAATAATACCCATTCACAAGCTCACAGTGTCATTCCTAGGTTAGGAGCCTGGAACAGCATAACTGGCTGCTTTGCACAGGGTATCAAGAAGCTGAAATTGAGGTGTTGGTTGGACTCAGCTGAAGACTCAGGGAAACTCTGCTCCAAAATTTATTCTTGTTGGCAGAATGCACTTTCTGAGGCTTGGTAGAACTAACATTCCTGTTTCCTTTTTGGCTATCTGCCAAAGTTTGTTCCTAGAGATTGCTCCCAGGTCTTATCCACGTGGTGCCTGCCATCTTTTAGCCAGCAACAGCACATTCAATCCTTCATGTTTCTGACTTTCTTTACTTCCACCACCTGGAGAAAACTGGCTCCTTTATGGGACTTGTACGATTAGGTAGACCCACCTAGAATCTCCCTTTTGATTAGCTCAAACTCATTAATAACCTTAATTACATCTGAAAAATTGCTTTATACATATAATGTAATAAACACAGGCATGATCTCTCATTGCCTCCACAGGTTCAGCGCATACTTTAGGGGTGGAGATAATACAAAGGTCTAGTGTCATTTGGGTCATCTTAGAATCCTACCTACCACAGTATCATAAAATTAAATGTAGTGACGAAATCAGAACCACCAGCAGTTGAACATTGACTATATTTTGATATGGTCCACTTGCATTAAAGTGCTATCTCATTTACTGTAGATGATCTGGATGTTGCCTACCAAAAGCTGAGTCAGCTCATTAGAGAATACCTGGGATTGACTGAAGAACCTACTAAGAGTTTGGCTCCAACTGCAGGTACTATCTAATCTCCTTTGTGCCAAATTCTTTTTTTCATGGAGAAGAAACATATCTGTTATTTAGGTATTCATCAGCCAGACTACAGCTGACACTAACTCTTCAATGCTTGTAGTTCTTCTGGGGTGATTGTTTCCATAAACAAGCTGTGTGAATCAGCCCTCTGGGCCTGTAGCTCTGCTTATCTTCATGTCTGTAATAGAACTCAAGCAAGGTCCCTGTGCTTTGTGAACCCACTAGGCAGTGCATTGGAAGTGGGCAATAGATAAGGGTTGATCGTATGGTTCAGAACCTAGCCTTCCAGAAATGCCATTATGGGACTGAGGTGTTCTACTCAGCAGGTTCATTGTTAGTCCAAGAGTTTCCTTTTTCTTCTAAATTGCCAGTCCTCAAAACATTGTACTGTAGAGTATAGTGGAAAGAGCACTAAGCAGAGCATATGATCCTGGTCCTGGTCCTACTCTCCTTTGGGAAGGAGCTGAGTTGTTCTGAGCCTCAGTTTACTGTTCTGCTGTGTGGACTTCATGCTCCCCTCCTCCTCAGGGATCATGAGCAGACATGATGGAGTCTAAATAAGAGAACATCTCCTTGGAATCTAGGAACTCTAATGCCTTAACTTAGAATTTTGGTACATATCTATTTTGAGGTGTATGTGAAAGGTTCTCCCTTTCACCTCAAACCTATTAGGATGACTACTATAAAGAAAAGAAGGGGTGCTGAGGCTGTAGAGAAATTACAAATTTGTGCACTGTTAGTAGGAATGTGAAATGTTACAGCTGCTATGGAAAATAGTATGTGAATTCCTAAAAAATTTAAAAATAGAATACCATATGACCCAGAAATTCTTCTTCTGGATATATACCTAAAACAATTGAAAATAAGATCTTGAAGAGATTGTCATACACCCATGTTCATAGAAGAATTATTCATGTCAGCCAAAAGGTTGGACTCAAGAATCCATTGACAGATGGATGGAAAAGAAAATGTGGTATATACATACAATATAATGTTATTCAGTCTTAAAAAGGAAGGGAATCCTGACACATGCTGTACCATGGATAAACCTTGAAGACATTCTGGTAAGTGAAATAAGCCAGTCAGAAAAGGACAAGTACTGTACAGTTGCATTTATATGAGGTATTTACAGTAATCAAATTCATGGAGACAAGTAGAAGGGTGATGGTCAGTAGAAGGGAAGGGGAGAATGGAGTGTTATTGTTTAATGGGTACTGAGTTACAATTTGAAAAGATAAAAAAAGTTCTGGAAATGGTGGTGATGCTTGCACAACATTGGGAATGTACTTAAGACACTGAACTGTACTCTTAAAAATGGTTAAAATGGTAAATTTAAATCATATGTGTTTTACTACAATAAGAATTTTTTGAAAAGGTCCCTCAATGGACTGAAACTCTAATCATACATCATATATTCCAAAATGTTAATCCAAGACTTATGTTGCTTTGTAGATGCTGTGAGGCTTTGTGATTTAGCCTTTGTAACTCTTTGCCCAAATACGATTTTGTTTGCCCATTTGCATTCTGGCTGACAAAGGGAGGCCAGAGTGTGATTTTGCCAGAGTTCAAGCTAATTGTGCAATTTTGCACACTTTTCCCAAGTCAGGTGTCCCTGGTAGTTTGGAATGAGTTCCGTGTGATACCAGTAAAAGTCAACAGATAATGGCTGAGAATTTCCTTCTATGTATGTCTCATAGGAGAGGAAGTGACCAGGGTATAACCGCCCAATAGAAAAGTACCTGAAGAAAGTTTGGCCTGTCAAAGCAGGCATCTGTTTGGAATTGTGGAGAACTGTGCTCCTTTTACAAATGGGGGGAGGGGTTGAATTAGGTGCTCATCAGTGTATTTATCCAGCCCTCTCTGATCCTCTGTATCAGGCATTGCTTCCTTAGAAAGCCAAGACCATCGAGCAGTGTGGTGAAGTCTACTTAATAAGGCTTCCAGAGTGTCATAGAACTTTCTCTTGAGGAAATCTGGCTCCTTTTGTTTTAATTCTTTGCTGTCCAAGCAACCTCTGCTCTTTTAATTTGGTCCCCTGGGTGGACCCGCCCCTGTGGGAGCTGTACCTTATGTTAGAACACCCTGCTTTGATCACTGAGCTGGACCCATCTCCCATCAGAAATTAATAAATTGGTATGCTGGCTTCTATATCAGTCTCTTGTGGGTTTAGATAAACACAAATCAGTCCCCTGAGTCTGACTAGTTCTGAGTACCTGAGAAATATGTGTTTTTTGTATTGTTAGTCAGTGGGATTCCATCTCTGTGTTCTGTATGTTTGTTTATTTTACAATGATCAGGAACAGTGACTGCTGGGTGCATTTGCCATTTGGCAAATTAATAGACCAAATAATGTGTGTGTAGGAAAGTGGATTCCTATTCTAAAGGGTATAATAAAACTTTATTTATTTGGAATAATTAGGTTAGGCCTATCTGATTTAATGAAAGGCATGAATTATAGAATTTATAAAAATGTTATCATTCTCAAATACATTTAATAAATGAAACTGAGCCATCCAGTTATTGACTAATAGGATTCCAGTTTGAAGAAGTAGATAGGAGGGATTGCAATTAATATATCAAATTACTGGCTTCAACAGACCTTTGCTTTTCTGGCAGGTTTAATATTTTGGAAAAGAATGTATTCTTTTAAGCCAAATACTTTATCTTACTTATATAGTTAATTTGTGGAGGGAGTTAATTTTTTTCAGTTGATGCTTCAAGGATAAACTTGCACATAAAATGACATTGTAGAAGCCAGACATTATTCAAGGGAGTATTTAAAAAATTCTAATGAGCATAGTTTTTATTAATAAGCTTTTATGGTATCTCTAATGGCCCCAGAAATTGAACCAATGGCTTCTTTGAATTTCAAGACTGAAGTCTGTGCCAAGGAGCATGGGCCACATGTTTATAGGTTCAGTGCAGGAAAATGGAGCCAAACCATAATTGCCTAAAAAAAAAAAAAAAAAAAAAAAAAGTGTTGAGTTTATAATAAGCTTTTATGGTATCTCTATGGAGCCAAACCATAATTTGCCTAAAAAAAAAAAAAAAAAAAAAAAAGTGTTGAGACTCTCTGAGAAGGGTCCCAGGCCCCAGCAGAGTCATCATCATAGGCTTGGTGGGCACCTTACCTCTTTGCCTCTGATCTGAGCTAGGTACTCTGATTTTAAGATCTACAGTTAGGTATATTTACATAAACACATTACTTATATAAATGAGACCCCTAGAAATGAAAAACAATAATTTTAGTATAGTGGAATTATTTTTTAAGTAATTGAGCTGTCAAAGGGAGGAAATTTAAATAAAAAATATTTAAGGTTCTATGAAAGAATAGCCTGAGCAATTAGAAAACTGGACTAGAAATGTGAAACTGTGATTTTAATATATAAAAGCTTTTTCTATTCTAAGTCTAACCAGTAATCATTAATTGGAAGAGAGATGATTTTGAATATTATATTTTACTTTAGAAAGAAAACTATGTAATACAGGACATTATTAGAATCTAGCCTTCTAGAGTTGAGATTTTTTTCCCAGTTGAATTGGATTATCTATGTGTTTAAGCCTCAGTACAAACAGAAATCTTAAGGCCAACAGCATTGCCTTTCTAAAAGAGGTAATCCTGTGTCAAAGCAAACTAAAGATAATCCTGAAATATTTGAAGTAATGACACAAAGCTTTATCTGTAGTAATTATGTGCTGCTAATTTGTAACTGAGAATGCAATGATAATTTCTACTCTTGACAATGAGAGTGAAACAGAGTGATAAAAGTAAGCCTAAGGTCTGTCAGTTCTTAGTACAGTATCCATCAGCCTACCCAGAAATGTAAACCCTTCTCCAGGGAACAAATTAAATTTTCATTTAATGCATGTATAAAATAGTATCTTTAAGTAGAGTGATGATAAGCTCTTGAGATCTTTAGATATGCCACAAATTAAAAATGTATAGCAATTTAGGGATGGAATTATCTTATTTTTTGCAATAGTAATTCAGGTAACATTTCTTTCTAAAGCATGAATACTTAAAAGAAACCTGAGTAAATAATATGGTTTCTATAAAGTAAGGAAAAACTCGCCATATTTGCAATTCAGTGTAAGGAATGTCTCTACCTCCCATTGGTCTCTGGACAACCTATTTCTGTATAATATAAGTGCTTTTAATGAAACTTTTAGAAGTCTGAACTAAGTATTGCCCTGGGTTCTTGCAATAAAGATGAAATGAAGCCGGGTGCTGGCGGCTCATGACTGTAATCCTACCTACTTAGAAAGCAGAGATCAGGAGGATCACAGTTTGAAGCCAGCCTGGGCAAATAGTTAGCAACACCCTATCTCAAAAATACCTAACACACAAAAAAGGGGCTGGTGCAGTGGCTCAGGGTATAGGCCCTGAGTTCATGAGTTCAGGCCCCAGTACCACAAAAAAAATAAAAGAAATTATATTATTCAGAATTCTGACTAATGATAGAGAATAATAATGAGACTAATGTTTAATGAGGTTCAAACAGAGGAAAACTGATCATTTTACTAGCCTATAAATGGCACCCTTATCTTTAATAAAGGGTATGACATCGTTTACCAAATTATGAGAATTGTTACTTCATGAAAGTAGAGGAAAGATTCTGTATATCTGTTTATACTATTATAGAGGAAAATTCGGGGCGGGGGGTAGTACTGGGGTTTGAATTCAGGGCCTCTTGCATGCTAGGAAGGCAGTCTACCACTTGAACCATGACCCCAGCCCTTTTTTGCTTTTTACTTACTTTGTAGGCAGGGTCTCATGTTTTTGCCTGGAGCTGGACTTAGACTGTGATCCTTCTGCCTATGACCTCCCACATAGGTAGGATCACAGGCACTGCCACCATGCCCAACTTATTGATTGAGATGGGGTCTCACTAGCTTTTTTGCCCAGGCTGACCTGAAACTGTGATCCCCTGCCTCCTGAGTGACTGGGATTACAGAAGTGAGTCACTGCACCTAGTTAGCATTTG